ATTATCCTTGAATTCTTTCAGAGTTAAATTACTTTCTGCCATTCTATATTAGTGTGTTAGTTATAATCTTTAGTTCTTTCTGATTACCTCTAGTAACCAGACTTCGAGGTCTCCTTGAATGTTCTCAAATCCACATTTTCCAAGGGAAAGGTTTATTACACTTAAATTCAAAATCTTCTTATATTTTTAGAGGATTTTAAACAAACAACAAGAAATATTCTTATAATTATTTCTTAATTTTTTATGGTCAATCTAGCCTCTTAGCCTATTTAAAAACTCTCTAATATCAACTTTCTAATCACCATTTTGCTGCTTATTTCTTTTTAAAAAATATTTTATTAATTTTCTAATTTTACATTTAGGTATTTAAAAAGCAACGCGGTGGCTGGGTTAATCAATAGCGCAATAACATACAAAAATCTTTAGTACAAATCTCAAATTACAACATCAAATATTTTCTCTCTTTTTCCCTTAATATCTACTATCTCTTATTTAAGCTAATACAGTTCTTATTATATCATCTAAGTAAAAACCTCATTATTACATTTATCAATAAATTTTTAGCTTATACATATCTTAATTTCTTTTATATTCAATCTTTATAGACAATCAATGTCCTCTTGTTTTTTCCCCAATTTTTAGCTTCCCATCAATATTCATATTTAACATTTGATATTTATAATTTCCAGGCTTTAGGTAACCAAAGTTTCCCTTATCTCAATTCATAACAGAATCTAATATTCAAAATATACTTATCTATTTGAGTATAGTCTTGTTCTATTTTCTAAAAGTTATCTATTTCCCACCATATTAAATTATCTAATTAATAATACAGTATCCCCTTTAATAAATCAAAACCATTATATATATTGTCTTGGTTAATAAATCAAACATATTCATAATTTTTTTGGGGTCTAATTTTTAAATATTAAACAAATAGAATCCTTATTTTCAACTAATTTTGAAATATTTTAAACTTAATGACCAAAATTCCCCTTATCTCAACTTCTCCCTTTAACCTTCTAATTAGTAATATGAAATCCCCTCTAATAAATCAAAACCCCAATTTTTTCAGCCTTATTCTGGCTTTCTTCCTTTGCCAACTAGCCTTCCATGTCAATGCTTGTAAATCAGTGATTCTCAACCTTCCTAATGCTGTGACCCTTTAATACAGTTCCTCATGTTGTGGTGATCCCCACCCCCCCATCCAGCTGGCCAGGGGGGCAGGAAGACCGCGCCACCGACTCCACCCAGCCTGGTTGGAGAAGCGCCATTCCTCTCCCTCTTTCTCTCTTTCCTCTCTCTCTTTCTCTTTCCTCTTTCTCTTTCCTCTCTATCTCTTCTCTCTCTCTTTCCTCTTTCTCTTTCTCTTTCTTCCCTCTTTCTCTTGCCTCTCTTTTCCTGTTTGTCTCTCTTTCTCTTTCCTCTTTCTCTCTCTCTTTCTCTTTCCTCTCCTCTCTTTCCTCTTTCTCTCTCTCTTTCCTCCCTCTTTCTCTTTCTCTCTTTCCTCTCTTTTCCTGTTTCTCTTTCCTCTCTCTTTCTCTTTCCTCTTTCTTTCTTCTCTTTCTCTTTCCTCTCTCTCTCTTCTCTTTCTCTTCTCTCTCTTCCTCTTTCTCTTTTTCCTCTCCCCCTCTCCCCCTTTTTCTCTCTTTCTCTTTCTTCTCTTTCTCTCTTTCTTTCCTCTCTTTCTCTCTTTCCTCTCTCTTTTCCTCTGTTTCTCTCTCTTTCCTCTCTCTCTTTCTCTCTCTTATGGCAACATCATCGGGAGTCCCCGCCGCCCCCGGCCCAGGCTCCGCCGCATCCTCAGCCAAACGAGTGGGGAGGGGGAGCAGGACGGGAGGCAGCGGCTCCGCCGGCGGCGGCGGCATGGCAGCATTGTCGGGGTTCCTTGCCCCCGGCCCGGCCGCAGCCCTGCCACGTCCTCAGCCAAACGGGTGGAAAGGGGGAGGACGGGAGACAGCGGCTCTGCCAGCGGCACGGCAGCATCGTCGGGTTCCTCGCTGCCACCCCCAGCCCAGCCAGAACTCCGCACTGCCCGGCCTTGTTCTCCATCCATCGATTGAGCCGCGGTGGGGGATGGTGCTGCGCAGCCCGCCAGCCCTCCGCCAGCCCGGCTACTCCCCCTCAGTTACCCCTCTTGCTCTAGCAGTCACCCAAGCCACCCAGGGGGCACCAGGAGGAAGAAGGAGAGGAGGGCGAAGAAACGGCCACCGCCGCCCCAGCCGGGACTCCGCGCTGCCTGGCCTCGCCCTCTGGCCATCCGATGGAGCATTGGTGGGGGCTGGTGCGGCACGGTCCCTGCCAGCCCCTCTGCCAGCCCGGCTGCTCCCCCCCCAGGCACCCCTCTTGCCCCGGCGCCCGCCCGAGCCACCTTGGGGGCAGCAAGAGGAAGAAGGATTGGAGGAAGAGGAGGGCAAGGAAGCCGCCGCCAGCACCGGGCCCCAGGAGGCAGCGCTCCTCTCCTACCTTTGCTGCATCTCCTTCTTCCTGGCAGCCTGGACTCCAGAGCACCTTCCCAGCCAGCGGGTCCAATGGTCGGGCTGGCTGGAGATCACAGGGGCTGGTCTCCCTTGGGCCGCGGCTTGCGGCAGGGCTGGCCCGCTCAGCGGAGCCTCCAGCGGGCCACTCCCAGCAGGGATCCCGTGGCTTCCCCGGGCAGCTCCAAGGCCACGAGGCCCTGGCTGCACCCGGGCGCAGGGCCAATCAGGAGCCCTGCAGGAGGTAAGTCCGCCTGAGAGAGAGAGAAGGGAAGTGAAAGTGCCTCTCTGTCTCTCTCTCTGCAAATGGCAGAGGAGGCCATGCAGAGACGGATGCGGAGCGGTGTCTCGGTTCCTAAGACCATCGGAAATATGTGTTTTCCGATGGTCTTAGGTGACCCCTGTGAACGACCCGTTCAACCCCCAAAGGGGTCGCAACCCACAGGTTGAGAACCGCTGTTGTAAATAATCAAATAGATCTCCCTCTATTATTATATATATTAATTGAAATAAGTTGCCATTTTTTTTGGAATGGCTAGCCCATTTGTATTCATTAGATCATCTTCCTATTATTCCAATTCCCTATGGTTGTCCTGATATGTTTATCTTTCATTCAATCTGTTCTTCTTTCTCCTCAAATTTCTTCTGGTTTATATAGAAAGTCTTTTCCATTTTCAATGTTGTCATTCTCTTTTCTGGATTTTCTATTAACTGTATTTGTTGGTCAATTGAGTCCTCTGTCTTAGTATTTGATTGTTCCATTTCTGTTAACTTTTGCATTGTTAGTTCTTTGGTTGAGTCAAAATTTGGGTTTGTATATCTAAGCTGGCATCTTGTTCTTTTATGTTGCATCTTATTTTGTCACAAGCTGAAAGAATGGTTTCATGTACTGCTTTCAACATAGAAAGGATCTTTTCCTGGTCTTCTTTTAATAGTGTGTTAAGTTGAGGACTTTAAAATCAGACGTTAAAAATAATTTTATAACTAGGTATGGGACCTCTATTTCACGTGTTTATAGGTAATCTTTATAGTAGAAGTTGTTTATCAAGTAAGATTTTATAGTCCAAGGTATTTCATCATCTCATATAATAACCAATGTTCCTCAGACAAAGAAATAGGAAAGCAATTTCCCACATATAGCTCTGAAAGTCAGTAAAGGTTTACATTCATAGTTCAAGCAGTCCAGTTATGCTGCCCAGAAGTTCTCTTTACAGCTCAGTTTCTCACAGTTGGTATCTATCAAGGTCGAAAGAGTTTTATCTGAAGTCTGGGCTTCAAGCCATCTCTTTTAAGCAATAACAAGTTGTAATGCTAAACTTCGCCACAAGATGTCACCGATGCCATTTAAAGTTTTTTAAGTCCAAATTTTTTATAATCCTTTTTCCAGTTTTATTTCTTTTTTGTAGATAAAAATAAAAGTCTCCAGTAAAAATAAGAAAACTTTTGGTCCCCAAGTTTCATAAACATATCAATCCAATTAGATTAAAATTGTTCTTTTAGTGCTTTAACTCCCCTGGTTAGTCAGTCACCACTATTCTTAGAGGGTGGGGTAGAAATTCCCTTCCTCTCTCCTCACGGGGGAAAAGATACTTTGGGCAGCTTTTACAGGAAAAGAAAATACTTAGAATCTTAAAGAGAAGATCAGAACTCACCCAGTTTCATCTGCGTTGCTTTAGAAGTGCCTGATAGTAAGTTTGACTTCGGCTGTCTGCAGCTTAGTGACGAGCCATATTGCTATGGCCGGTCTTTCCTCCACTGGTTTGGAGATCTGCCCCGGATCGAGCTGAAGTGCTGCCGCCCTCCCACGATCAAGCGGGGCTCCCCTCCTTGCTCGTCACCCCTACAGGGTGACTTTCGGCCCTTTCCCGGGTCCCCCAGCAGAACGAAATTGAATGCGGAAGACAGAGCTCACCTTCCAGCAGCCGCAGCGGCCACGATGGCAAACCAGAAGTCACCATTTTGCTGCTTATTTCTGATTTTATTTAAGCTCTTAGTATTACATGAAACTTTTGCTGAGGAAAATCACCCAGCGTAATAAAACTTGTCCTTCTGAAAATTCTTAATATTCAAAAAGCAGCTTACAAGTCACTTCCAGAGAAAGTGATTAAGTACAGGAGCAGGCAAACCCAGTGTCTCTTTGAAAGTTCTGAACTGTAGCTTGAACAAAATGATTCTTCCAGCATCCAGAGCTCTAAAACCCACCAGAGATACCTGATTTACAGTCTCATTGCAGGGAGCATCTGTAGGAAGTACTATGGTGGATCCCAGGGCCTCTCCTTATTCTGAAGAGGAATTCAGGAAATTAATTCATTCAAAGTTCCTTTTTCCATTGCATCATCTCCACTCTCATAGACCCATCTTCAATTGACCATGCTTCCCAGTTGGAAGGAACTTTAATATTGGTGGGATCCAGATGATTCTTTTAAGTATGCAAAACCAAAGACTATCGAAACAGGAAAGTGTGATTATGTCTAAGCAAACTGTAATTATAAATGTACATACAGTGTGTTCTGTTTTTTATAGTGGAGAGGCATCGAAAGAAGAAAATCAATGCTGGTATAAACCGAATTGGTGAGCTAATTCCATGTTCCCCTGCACTGAAACAGGCAAGTAGGGTCTTGTGTTAATAGCAGCTGTATATAGCCTTTAGAGTTGATTCTTCTAATACCCCTGTTCAGACAATCAGGACTTGGGCTTAATAAATTAAAATATACTCAAGGTTTAATTGTGAAATGTAATTAAATATAATATCTTATTACAGATAGAGCTTGTTTAGTGACTACAATTGTGACTGGTAGTTCTGTCATTAAGTGGTTATCAATCTTTTTAAAATATATATATATAAACAAAAAAGATTCTGTGGCAGGGATGAAATTGATTATAATTTTGAAATTGTCTAAATCGGTTGCAATAGGTGATAATTTTTTAGAATAAAAAAACTAAGCAAAAGAGCAAAGGAAAAATTTCTGGAAATTTTTTTTGTGAAAGCTTTTAATTATGTAAAGGTTGATAGTAGTGTTAGTTTTATTAGATTAAATATTTTGTTATTTTTTCCTCTAGACATTATAAATCAATTCAAAATCTGTATCCTTTACAGAGTAAGAACATGATTCTTGATCAAGCATACAAATATATATCAGAAATGAAAAAGCAAAATGATGAACTCCTATTGAATGGAGGAAACAATGAACAAGGTAAATAGATTATTCTATGAATGTGGCATGTTATAATCGTTCCTTATTTAACTGGGGCTGCTGCAGAAAGCATTATGAAGCATCACCAAACAAAATGAAGTACTATACTATCTTTCTTCTGTGACTGAATTATTTCAAACTATTTCTACTTCAGGAAGGAAGTACTGTTTCTATAAGGTGGTAAGCTTTCAATTTATAGCACTGATAAATATTCTAAAATATTCTATTGTTACTGTATATCTATGTTTATATTTAATAAAAGTAGTTAGCTAATGTCGCTTTTAACTATTCTCAACATAATATAAAATTGGCACACTTGTTTTTATTGCGTACATGATTTTAAATAAAGTTTCATTTCTTGCTGCTCCTCCTTTACTTTGTAATTATTAAAACTTTCCAGCAAGTTCAACACTTATCTTCCAAACCTTTATGGCTCAAGTTATTATTTTCTTTGAACCAATTAATACTAATAAAGTTACTAATATTTTAATTAAAATATTTGCTCATTTTACTTCTTAATACATCTGCCTTGGTATGTGCTAGGATTGTTGCTTTTTTGAAACAAAAATTTATATGAAAATATCATACAGGTAGTCCTCAACTTACAACAATTCATTTAGTGACCATTTAAAGTTACAACAACACTGAAAATAGTGACTTATGAATTATGACCATTTTTCACATTTATGAGTGTTGCAGCATTCCCATGGTCACATGATTTACATTTGTATGCTTGACAACTGACTCACATTTATAATGGTTGCATTGTCCTAGAGTGATGTGATCTCTTTTGTGACTTTCTGACAAGCAAAGTCAATGGGGAAGCCAGATTCACTTAACAAATGTGGCGAAAAATGGGGCACAGCTCACTTAACAAATTTCTCACTTAGCAACAGAAATTTTGGGCTCAATTGTGGTCGCAAGTTGAGGACTATCTGTAGTTAAAAATAGGAAAGCAAATCTAAGTCTAATTAATAACTGAGAATAAGAATAATTATTTTTAAAATTCATCCCATTGTATTAGCATCTATATTTTCACCCATATTATGTGTCAAGAATAGAATCAATAGTTTCTTTTATTAGAATCTACTGATCCTATTCTTTAGGGTTTATTAGAGCGCTGTAGATTGCCAATGATTATCCTCTAGCATTTATATAACCATTTTTTTCAATAGGAAAGTCCAATATGAATTTGAGTAGTAATAATAAAAACAACAGCAATAGTTCTTTTTAAGAGGGCAGACACACCTGCACTTTTTCACACATTAAATCAGGAATGAGGTACTGGATTAGACAGAATGAATACAATCCCAACTTCACATAGCAGTTTAGGTAATAGTAGGGACAGGGCTTAGCCAAGTGACATCAACCCCTTGATCCACTAGATTTTCCTGCGCTTTTTTCTAATTAGCATTAACTTCTTACAATTTTCTCTGCAGCTGAAGAAATAAAAAAACTCCGGAAGCAATTGGATGAACTCCAGAAAGAAAATGGACGCTACATAGCATTATTGAAAGCCAATGACATTTGCCTTTATGATGATCCTACCATCCATTGGAAAGGGAATCTTAAAAATTCAAATGTTTCTATTGTAATTCCGAATGATCAGATGCAAAAGAAGAAAGAAAATCTGAAAAATACAAATATTTCTGTTGTTATCCCCAATGATCAACTGCAAAAGAATATCATTGTATATTCCAATGGCAGCCAGTTTGGTGGAAGTAACCAGGGGGCATCTGTCCAAGGAATAACTTTCAATATAGGACATAATTTACAGAAACAGACAGCTAATGTTGTTCCTGTCCAGAGGACTTGCAACACTCCTGCAACCATTTCTAGTATTTATTCAACAGCAATCAAATCAGGTATTCAGACTTCAGTTTCATCATTAGTATCAGGCCTACCAAATGCAGACAAAAAAACTCTTGAGCAATCTACCTCTGAGAACAAGCAGGGCACGTCTGTCTGTACGAGTGCTGCCAGTTCTGTGAATACCTCACAGCTAGTAAGACTGCAGAGTGGAAAACAGATTTTATCACAAGATGAGAATGACACCTCCAAATCTAAAAATAATCAAGGGAGTTTGAAGCTGATTGAGAAAGCAAGTGTACTAAGCACCAACCTTTCTTCCAATGTTAGTGTAGATGTGCTTCATTGTCAACAAGCAAATATACCACCAGAAGTGAGTTCAAAACGTAGGTCTCTAGGAAGCTGTGTATCTTCTGCAGCTGACCCAACCTGTGCTGCATCTATTGGTGGAAAGGCATCCACAGAAAAGGTCTTCAAAACCCTAGTTGGTGGAGCTCCAGAAGGAGAAGCCCCAAAGGCTGTGACAGAATTGAATATAGTGCCTGCTACTAGTGTAGAGAAATGGCCTTTTCCCAGTTCTTCAGGTGTTGGCATTCCAGAGTCAAAAAGCATTGGTAATCTTATGAGAATCACTTCAGCTGGAAACACCCAAACCACGTGGACTACATTGCAGCTAGCAGGAAGTACTGTCCAGCCTCTAAATCATACTCCATCCAATATAATGACAGCCCTTCTAAATGAGCCAATTAATGGTGCTAGTATTCTAGCTTCTACTCCAAACAAGATTCTGGCCAGTGCTGATGGTTTAAATAACCCTCTAATTCCAGATGAACACCCAGCTGACCAATTGGTTGTTACCTTGCCTTCCTATCCATCTTTACCTATTCAGCCACTAATTAGTAAGACACAAACTAGAGCGCAAATTACAAGCAGCCTGCTTCCCCTAAATCCAGCCATGCAAGTGATTCAAGTATCTCAGCCAATGACCTCTCCTATCAATACATCACCTATTAATCAGAACATTGTAATTCTCCAGCCTCCTAATGCTAATTCCTGTCCTCCAGTGCTGAGATCTGAACTTCCAAATCAGACCGTTAGTCAACAGATTGTAATAATACAAACTGCTAATCCAAATCCTCTCTCTTTTCTCTCAACACCATCAGTTGTTAAAATGCCTGTGAATGGAACAAATGCTGGCAATCTTATACAAAGTGCCTCTGGCCCTCATATGTTTGGTGGGAAACATCTTGTTCATATTTTACCAAGGCCCTCCTCTTCAACATCATCTTGCCTGACACAAACATTTTCCGTTTCAATGTGTAATCAAAAGCTTCCACAGACCATTTCTTTAAATGGACAGTTGTTTGCATTAAAGCCTATGAAATCCTGTTCTGGAGATTCAGATCAAAACCCTATGCAAATTATTCAGCCTACTACCAGTGAAGATCCAAATACCAACATTGCCCTCAATGCATTTGGTGCTTTAGCTAACCTCAATCAAAGCATATCACAAATGGCTGGCCAAAGCTGTCAACAAGTGTCTGGCAATCAATCTATCAACCCCAAAACTGTGAGTAGCCAAACCACACCAACAACTCCTGCTTTGCTAACAGTGACAATACCTTCCTCTTCAGCTGCTGAGAATTCTAGATTAACCTGTACTTCAACGTCACTAGATATTTCTCCCCCCAAAGTTGCTGGTTTGGATTCAAAGTGGTCTAATAAAAATTCAGGTACTAAGAAAACTTCAGTAGCCAGCAATAACCTTGCATGTCAAGTAGATCTTAACAAAGAATGCAAAAAAAATGATAGAAATGTGGTAACTGCATCTGAACATTCAGGAAGTGACATATTGCTTGAAAATATGCCTGTTGTTTTGCAGTGCTTAGCTGTACCACAGGCAAACTGTAGAATAACACCAAATGCTTCTGATTCTCATCCCAAAGATAGACTGAGAACTGAACAGAACATGGAATCTACCCTGACACCTGACTTGAATACAGCTGGAGTGCCTAGATCATTGTCCCTTGAATCATCCTTATTGGGTCAATTTGAGGTAGTTCCTGGGATTTCCAAAGTCCGTGCTTCTCCACCTCTTCAAATATGTCAATCTCAAGCCAACTTAACAGCAAATTCTAAGTTATCAGAATTGTCCAAATGTATATCCACCAGTCCTTTACTGCCCTCTTCTTCGGATTCTCCCGTGACAATTTCTCAAATTTCTGAGACGTCGGTGTCAAATAGAGAAACAAATGTGGAAAATGTTCCCAGAACAGAGGTCTCAGAGATCTGCAGGATGGAACAAAATTGTTCCATAGTAATGCAAGCCTCAGATTTATTGGAAGAACAGGGCCTAACCAAAATGTTCTCAGAGTTTAATAAAGTAGGAGATGTACAAAAATCCTTTTCAGTCCAAGTAGAGCACCCCAGTTTTTGTATCCAAAGCACGAAATCAAATATTAGCTCAAATGATAATTTGGGAAGGAAACAAGAAGAACTTTTGCTGATAAACGCTGAAGAAGAAAATCTCACACCGTCTAATTCTTGCACCTCCGACCAGGAAGCAATCACTGCTAATAGGCAAGTAGACTCCCCCATGTCAACTAGTTCAGCTAGCAGTTGTGGCTTTTCTGTTGCATCCATGTTGCCAGATACATGTAGGGGAAATGTTTCTAGCAACACTTTGGTGAACACACATAGTACCTGCACATTTTCAGAGCAAACAGATATTGTAGCACTGGCTGCAAGGGCAATTTTTGACCAAGAGACTCTTGCAAAAAATACAGGAACAGTGTCAGGAAGCTCTGTTTCCAAGGGTAGTAAAGTAGCATCTTTAGGAAGAGACCAACCATTCAAAGCCCATCCAATTAAAAACACTAATCAAATGGAAACAGGGCCAAACAATTTCAGTACCCAGAATTCAGTGCAAATAAACATTGAGTTGTCTACAGAGAAAAGTTATTCTATTGGTCTGGAAATGTCTGATACAGCTTTGCAGATTCCTAGTCCACAATCCTCAAGCGCCTCAAGCTTGAGTGTAAATAATCTCATACATCCAACTTGCATCATACAACCTCCAGTAAGCTGCTCAGGTGTACCATCATCTTCTGATCAAACAGCTGTTTCTGTATCTGGGACTCCATCTGTGCCTGCTAATTCATATATGACTCAGTCTCCAGGACATTCTCCAAGGTTGTTGGCAGAGTATCCTTCAGAACAGTTATCTGCTCTTCAGACTAGCACGATGCAAGGTCCACAGATATGTGAACCACATTTAAAGCAGCAAAGACAAGAAAGCCGCAAAGAGTCAACCAAGCGTTCTGTTCAAGATGATCATATGCTTTCTGCATCAAAGAGGCAGAAACATTGCCAGACAGCACCTCTACAACTCGAAGACATGGCTCTGTTGAATCAAACAGCTGATGAGGATCAAAATCAAATCCGTGTGAATCAGATCCCCCCCAACTCTAATCTTGCAGTATCAGTGAGTAGTCAAGGACATACCAATGGCCATAACAGGTTATTTCAAGCCAGCAATTTTGTGTCACCTACTTCAAGGCAAGTTGAAGTTCAGTGTAATTCTCATCCACCGATCTTAGATCAAGCAGGACAACATCTGCAGCCTATCCAACATGCTCTGTCTCAAGGTATGGCTCATCTTCAGGCTAATCAACCATACATAAAACCACAGCAACAGCAGGCTGGACAGCTAAGAGAAAGGCATCAGTTGTATCAACTTCAGCATTATATTTCTCCTGCAGAAAGTTCTATACACTCTCAAGTCCATATTGCCCATCGGCAACGAATATTGCATCAAGAGGCACAGCTGCAGAAAAAGAGAAGCCTCATTCAAGCCACTCAGCCCACCACACTTACTTTACAGCAGAAGCATCATGGAAATGACCAGTCACGGTCAAAGAGTAGCCAGCCACATCCCCATCACTCTCAGATTCAACAGTTGCAGCAGCATTACCCTTCTTCCCAGCCTGAGAAGAATTGTGAGAATCCTGCTTTGAGTAGAACTCATAACCATCCACGGACCCATCCAGGTCAGGATGTTCTGCATCAGCAGTCAGCAGATGTGGGCAGCAGACAACCTGGTTCTGGAGTTCCTTCTGAACATGTCTCAGGACATAGTCAGATGCATAGACTGTTGACCTCTAGGGCTTTGGAGCAGCAGATAGTGTCACAACCTAGTATTGTCACCAGACCAGATGTTCCCTGTCTCCCTCATAGGCAAGAAAGAAACAGAGTTAGTAGTTACTCTGCAGAGGCACTTATTGGGAAGTCTTCATCTAATTCAGAACATAGGCTAGGAGTATCCATGCAGAGCTTCAAAGTTTCAGATCATCTTGAGATGAGAAACTATGCCGATGTATCTAGGAATAAAGAACTAGTAATTCATAATACACAGAGTCGTGTATCTGTAGATCATTCACTTGGATCAGATATTCAAAGGCTCTCTGAGTGTCAGACATTCAAAATGAATGCCATTAATCAACAGACTACAGGTAATTTTGATGTGCAATCTTCAAGAAGTAATGAAATAAGTAACTCTCTCAGGGGTATGCAGACACAGAGTTTTCGACTTGCCCAAAATGCTGGACCACCAATAGACAGACAAAAGAGGTTGTCTTATCAACCAGTTCAAAGCCTTTCAGCAGGAAATCCTCTCCCTCCCCGAAGAGACAATGAGAATACATGCCACCAAGGATTCATGCAAAGTTTACTTATTCCTCATCTTGGAGATCAAGCTAATGGAAACCAAAGACCAATTTCAGATCATCAGAGAAATCCACAGTGTGCCAGTTCCTCAAATGTGGACTATAATTGTGCCCCAGCAAGAGAAATTATTCATATTCGGAGGGAAGGTGATGACCAGAACAGAGAAAGTTGTGATATGTCTCTTGGTACTATTAATGGTAGGAACAATGCTTTAACTATTCCCTTCTCAAGTTCTTCTGGAGATATTCAAGGCCGTAACTCAAGTCCCAATATTTCTATCCAGAAATCTAATTCCATGAGAATAACAGAGAGCCATGGAACAAAAGGTCACATAAATGCCTCAGCTTCTAGCAATGTACATGGAGCTACACGTCCTCTTCACTATGCATCAGTCTCTCGTGGGAATGCTGACCAGGTTCCTCCATCTGTTCGTCAAACCAATTCTTCAGCCAGTGATCGATCGAGACATCCTTTGCAAGATAACGGTGGCTCTAAAATTCGCCCGTCTGAAAGGAATCGTTCTGCAAATCAGAGACATGGGAACGTGTTTGAACCTTCTCTTCCTCAGCTCCCTTTATCCGCTGGTGGAGGAATGATCCTTGGTCGACAGCAGCCTACCCTTGAAAAAAGGGGCAGCATTGTACGATTCATGCCTGAAGGGCCACATGTGTCTCATGACAGCACAGCTGCTGATCAGCACACTTTGTCTCAAAATTTTGGATTTCCTTTTATTCCAGAAAGTGGAATGAATCCCCCAGTAAATGCTAACACATCATTTATTCCACCAGTAACTCAAGCCAACGCTACCCGAACAGCAGCACTGATTCCAGTTGATCCTCAAAATACATTGCCATCTTTCTATCCACCATATTCTCCTGCACATCCCTCCCTGTCTAATGACATTTCAATTCCTTATTTTTCTAACCAAATGTTTTCTAATCCAAGTACAGAGAAGCCAAATGGTGGAGGTTTAAACAATCGATTTGGTTCTATTTTGTCACCCCCCAGACCAGTTGGTTTTGCTCAGCCAAGCTTTCCCCTTTTGACAGATATGCCTCCAATGCATGTGGCCAATTCATCACACTTGTCCAATTTTAATTTGACTTCTTTATTCCCAGAAATAGCTACAGCTCTTCCTTCAGATGGATCAGCAATCTCGCCACTGCTCTCCATAGCAAATACAACTGGTTCTGATTCTTTGAAACAATCATCAAACCGGCCTGCCCATAATATAAGCCATATTCTAGGTCATGACTGCAATTCAGCTGTGTGAAAAGAATGGGAAGGGAATGAATTTTTTTGAATGCCCATTTTTATATATGTAATGCATATATACTTGTATAAATGTGGATTTATCATTTGTAAAAATACCATTTATAACAATCACTCTGAATGGTTTTAATTGCAGGTTATTCTTGGGCCTATACATAAACACTCAGATTGCTAATTTATGCATCTCTAAGTGCAAACTAGTTGTTAAAAGTTTAACCTCTTTCAGCAGCTTATGATAATGTGACACTCTTTACCCTTCTGTCGTTACCATGTCTATGAAAAATGGGACTAGGGAAACAAACTGAAGAATTGCATTTAGAATCCTTGGAAAGTAACATTTTGCACAAGATATATGGAGAAAATTTAAATTGCTTTTAAAAATTGGTATAAACATCTCTATGCTATAAATTCTTCAGTTTCAACTTAATGCCATGCTTAGTTTCTGATGACCTCTATGAAATTGTATGGAAACATTGCTTCATTTTCAAGATTTCTAGTTAGCAGGAATAGTAGTAGTAATATAGTAATTTCTTCCCACTCAGTATAGATTTCATTCTTTTTACCACTGATTAATATACTGTGTGCTTTCTCAGGTATTGGTTTTTCGTTGTTTAAAACCCTCTTAGGAAATTTTCTCCCCCCTCCTCCCCCTTTTTTAACATTTATTATTTCAAATTTCCTCTAGTAATAAGAAACTAGTAATGTTGATATATGAGGCTATAAAAATGAACAGGTGTTATAGTAGTCTGTAGGCAAATTGATTACATACATAGACATACTTTTATCAAGTCAGAGGAATTATGATGAGAGGAAAAAAAGAAGCACATGGTGTTTAGTGGAATGGTAGTCTTGATAGTATAAGATGAGAATGGAAATAGTCACGCACACCCCATAGTTGATTTAGCATTCCAAAACACTTGAGTCAGGGAACGAGGGAATATTTCTGTCAAGATCAAAACATACATTTTAGTACACCACTTTGATTTCTTTAAAACACTATTATTATTTCTATTTGTCTCTCCACACAGCTGATGACAAAAATATAGCATCTACACGTCATTGTCTAACCTATTATTCTGATAAGCTGCTAATTCTTTGTTTCTGTTTCTTTTTATAAGGTCCTGCAAAGCAAGAGTTTCAATCATCTCCTTTGTGAGATAACATACAACTTGATTCTAAAATGGGGATCTTAGTATTTCTTAGACTTTAGCAAAGCACTAAGCTGAAGTAACTGAAAATCTACAGCTCTGTTTTAGGATTAAGCTCTGTCTTAATGTCTTCAGCGTATTAAGAGTGTTCCAGGACATGCTAACTCTTGTGAGGGAAAAAGCCGAGAGAATTCTGAATTGATTAAAAAAACAATAAATACAATACAGTAGGGTGAATATTCATAAACTCAGCTTTCTGGCCATCTAATAGTTGTATCTTACAATCTTACTATATTATTTGGAATGTGAAACCACATGGAGATGACTTTTCTAGAGCAGCTCAATTTGAGGCCATTTGTTTTTGATGGCAGGAAGAAAGTCTTCCTACTATGAGTGGCCAGAAATATTTGCTCTTAAATGTATTCCCCTGTATTTCCAGGGTTTACTGGATTAGAGTTTTTGCAGAACATGCTAACAGATCAAAGAGTTCATACAAAAAGGGCCAGATAGTTTATTGTTTTACTTTCTTTTCCTCCCTTTTATTAGATGGCTATGCAGCTGTTTACAGAAAATAATTTCCTATAATCATATTCCAAGGACTGAAAAAAAACAACAGGTACTCTTCTTAACCAATTTAAATGCATAACAAGTGAATGAAACAGTCGGAAGTGAATTGGACAAAAATATATTGACCAGCAGAGGAAATCAGTTTCTTGAAGAATTTTTCTATGCAATAATGAGTGCTTTTATGATTTCTGAGTACAGTATTAAAAGTTTTTTCTGAAAATGTATTGGAAGAGTCTGATGCACAGATGAAAAGAAAATGCAAGTAAATGGCAGGGTATTTAATTAAATAGGAGAACCCGTATTCCCTTTCATTGAGTCAGTTGTACAACAAAGGAACCCTTGATTGAAGGATATGATATTCTGCATATTGGTTTGTGTAAATTTTTTATGACAAAAAAAGTATTCAGACTTTCACTATGTATTCATATAAACCAATAGCTACTTTCTGAGCATTTATCAGTATTTCTTGTTAGAAATTTTGGTAGATGTCAGTATAGACTATTTCTACTATTTTTCAAGTGTATTTTCATGGGGAAATATATTTTCAATATATCGCTTGCAGTGGTAAAAGTGCTATTGTAAATAAATTACCTTAGTTTTGATTATTAACATATTGTGCTTAGCAAAAGAGCATCAGCTGCCTAATGAGAGTCCATGCACTCTGCAAATCCTATTTTTTTTTTCTTATTTCAGGTAAGAGTGCCCTTTAGTTAAAAAAAAGGGGAATGAAGAATCTTAAACTATTTCAGGATTCTAACTTTAATACAAATTTCCCATTGTATGATCTCATAAATTCTGTGATCTTTATCGCATTGTCTTATTGACACTGATGTGATTTGAAGCTTCTCATATGCTAGAGAAGCACATAAAGCATAGGATGCCAATTTTTAGATGCATGAGGAATTGATCTTTTCTTATTGCTAAGATGTTATAGGGCGCAATAGTGGCTGAACCAGTTGAAAACATGGAAGGTATAGATCACGTGGGATGTATTGTATATAATACCTTAGGGTTTCTGTTGAGTATAGGAAGTCAAACCTTTCTCTTTTAATGGGAACAGATAAAGAAAACTTGCTGTCACACACCACAGTAGCCTACAGGTGTATATCCTACCGTCATACCTTTCTTCTTTTGCTGCTGTCCCTTGTGGCAGTTTCCTTGTGCACCTAGAAGAATTATCTAAACTCCCTCTTGTTTTAAAATTAAGAACTGTATGATGATTGTGCTACATTTTTCAGCAAATTAAGAATGTATGTTGTTGTGCATTCTATAGTATTCTATCCACTACTTAAGGTTCCCCAGAAATTTTCAAGATCTTGAAGATAAACTTGTTAGGAAAGTTTATTATTGTAAATAAGGTGTTTTTTTTATTTTGACATCTTTTTACAAGTTGAATGCATTTGTATGTAAATACCTGCAACATTGATTTTTTAAAAAATTCTCAGATTTTTATTAAATGTAAAATTATATTGATTGTAAACATTGTATAGATATAAACAAAATAGTATTTTATTTTTAAACATGTACAGTTTGTGCACTATCATTTTGTGTTCTGCTTGTGTTTTATAATTCTTCCCCTGCAGGAAAAACAAAAAGCAAAACAAATTATCTTACATTTAAATACCCAAATTTAAGACTGTAATTTTTAAGAAGGTAAACAACTAAAATGTCCAGCAATTCTGTCTGTGGTTTCCCACTAATTTGTTCCAATTTCATTGTCCACCTGCTCAGCCATAGTGAGAAACTCAAAATAGCCAAGCTGATTCTTGGACACAAGATAAAATGTTGTAAATAGTGGGTCAGAGCATCGCTTTGATTGCTATGCAAAGACAGTAGTTTGCTGGTAGTTTTCAGATCTATTGATCAGCAAGTTGTTTAGGGATAGGAAAATGCATTTGGGGCTGCTACGTTTCTAGAAAATGTGACTTGGAGTACAGTGTATTTGTGTTGTGTAATGCTTTGGCTTGATTCCAAAAAGAGACCTAGAACAGTGTTTTTCAAATATGGCAACTTTAAGATCCTAACTGGGAATTCTGGGAGTTGAAGTTTAGACATTTTAAAGTTGTCAGGTTTGAAAAACACTGACCAAAAACATGCTTTAGAAGAGAGATGGTTCCTTTGCTGAAGTGCTATATTAGCATTCTCGCATCCTTTTGGAATCAGATGCAAAGCACCACCCAGACCTCTGGATGGAAAAAAAAAAGTCTCCTTTATTCTTAGATTTCCTTTAAATATACAGCAGGTTTAACCTAGAGACCCTGGAAAAGCAGATGCAGAATTCCAGTGTTTAGTATTTTTTTTTAAAACAAAGTGAAGACAATTGTGCTGTGTCATTACCTGCCAAATAATCATTAGGAGAAAGTCCAAATATAGTTAAAGGTTAACGAACATCTTTAAGTAATTCATATTGATAATACTGAGACATGCTTTAATTTAAATTTAGCAAAGCATGGCACAAATATCTACACAGCATCCTCTGAACATAATTCTGGGATTAAACAATAGGGTAAAAGATTGGATCTTTTCTGTCTTACCCATTAACAGTTATTTTGCACAAGCTTAAATGAATAGCAGATAAGAGATTGTAGATTATCAGAAGATAATTCACCATTTGGCAATAGTGATAGATGATTAGCAAGGTAAATAACATTGTAATACTGGATTACCTGTTGAAGAACCAAACATCTAAGTTAAAAGAAATGTTATAATGCATATGACAGTCTCATGGACAGGAAAAGCATCTTCCAGCTAAGCAAGGAAAGTATGTTTTGTACAAAGAAGTGTACCATCTTCCCTCTGAAAAGGAGACAGGTTGCACTGTTCACATTGTCTAAAGTACTATAGGAAGAAAAGGGATGGTGTCTTCAGTACAAAAATGAGTTACTATCATTTTATGTAGTAAATGCAACAGTTGCAAAATGTTTTATATAAGGATCTCAGCAATATTTCAGTACTGTGTAAGTATTTCTGACTAATCAAGAAGCACAACATAAGTACAATGGAACCTTGGTGCTCATTGTTAATTGGTTCTGGGGGGCATGATATGTACCTAACACGAGTACCAAACAAATTTCTCCCATAAGGCAGGGGTCCCCAACCCCGGTCCATGGACCAGTACTGGGCGGTGACATACCAGCAACCAGTCCGTACAAACAAGGAGAGCCCCATCCACAGGATGCAGGCAGCACACAAAGCCCCGCCCCCTTAGTCTGCAGAAAAACCTCTCTCCTTTTGGTTCCCTGGTGCCCAAAAGGTTGGCGACCTCTGCCATAAGGAATAATATAATGAGTCACAAGGCAACTGACCCTGACATGTTCTAGCTTGTGCATTGAATACCAAACAAACATGAGTACTGGGACAAAAATTTTGTGTCAAAATGCATTGAGTACAAAATTCAATGAGTTTCAAAGCAATTGAATATTAAAGTTCCACTGTAGCCAAAAGGAGAATCATTCCGTGTGCATTTGGTAAATTACAAACTAAGAAACTACAATGCTGGGTATAAACCTTATCCATTATAAGAAAGTGAAGAAAGGCCACAGAGAATCTATGAACACCCCAGCTTGATTAGTCTCAATATAATGCATTATACTGATCTGATCAAGCTGATGTTGAGGACATGATTTTTGCAGTGTTCGGATTTTTCTATATGGGAATTGTTTCAAAGATGCTTCTTTCCAATGTGTACTTGGTGCTTTGTTCTGACTGCTCCACACAGCAAATTTCACTGTGAAGCATCAAATGCTGATCTTATCTTGTAGCTCAGAAGACAGGAATCTTGTTCCTTGGCACAGAATCCAAATCATCATCCAGGGTAAGCAGGCCCTAGAGCAAGAATGTATCACAGGCAGATCAAGAGATTTGTATATGGTTTTTTTCTTGGTACAAAATGGAAGAATAGGCAGAAATGACTTATCAGTTTTGTAGTCAGGATAGTTCTGACATCTTCCTCCTAGAAATCTGAATAGTAGTTGTTTTTCCCCCTGCACATAATACTTATTTTAAGATTTGGTGAAACAAATACCATATTGTAAGATGTCATTATGTATTTTACAGCAAACTGATAGGGCAGTGATGGCGAACCTACAATAGTGCCCATACTGCAACCCAAAACCCACTTATTTACTGCAGAGTGCCAGGGCTGCATCAGTATTGTGGTGCCCTCGGGGGGGGCATGGCCCACTGGGTGGGCATGGCTGCAGTGGTCACTGGGTGAACATGGCCAGGGCCAGGACAGCGGGGGCCAGTCCCTCGCCATCTCCGGGGCATCCCAGGGGGCCAATTCTGCTTGCTCGGTCACTTCCTGACCTGTCACTTCCAAACACCATGTGCTCGCTACTCTGGCGAACTCTGCTGGGGAAATGGCGCACATGCCCATAGAGAGGGCTCAGAGTGCTGCCTCTGGCACACATGCCATAGTTTCACCACTACTGTGATAGGGCCAAGAATCATGTGTAGTGATACAATGCAAATACCATAATAACTTTTATGTTTTGTATTGTACACTGCCCAGAGGTGCTCCATGAGGGAGATGGGTGGTCTCCAAATTTAATATATCAATAAAATTATAGTACTTGCATTCTGATGTCTAATGCAAACATGTAATTCATAGCAATTAATGTGACGAGTTCAATAGTGTTTTGTCATTTTCCCTTCCCTGGTGGACATCCTTGTTACTTCAGTTCTGTAAAGAATCTGAGATACAATCTGGTCGAACTGGTGACAAAGGGAACATTATTTATACTGTGCTCAGATTTTCTCATGTGGGAGTTGTTTAAATCAGTAACCTTTAAATATAGCCCAAATATGTTCTGGAAATGCTCCTTCCAAGGATATTTCTCCAAGCCAAGAATAACAACAGCAACAACAAAAAGCAAGCTGGCTAAATAGGAGAGAGAGATGGGATCTTTTCAAACCATCAGAAGCATCCTCTGGCTTCTAAAATTAACACATTTTAGGCAAGACAGCCATGCTGGCCCAAGAAAGAGGCTGGATACATTAGTACACTGTGTATTGGGCATTTGTTTGGATGGGGGAGTTTGAATACATCTTTGGGCAATTGTTTCCATCCTGGTACATGGTTATCAAGAGCCAAATGAACTATTTCCATCAGATTAGGGTATTGAGCTGTCCCAGCTGTTAATCCAACTACTGATGCTTTGCAATAAGATTTTTTTCTATTTTGATCATTTTTGTTAGATCCAGGTTATTTCTCCATGCCTTTCCTTCTTAACACAGGCTTAAATGAAATATAACAGGAAGTTGTTTGTGTCTGACTCAAATAGTATGTTATTTTTAGATAGGCCTACAGGGTTGTTGTTGTTTTTTTGCTCAAATTATTTTTAAAAGAAAACCATATTTTCTCCAGCAAAAGACCCCTGTTTTGCTGGTTGGATTTTCTAGTAGTTGTAATAGTATTTTAATTTAGCTCACACAATACCTAAGTACTATGCAATCAAATAATAAAATATTACAACATACATAATATTAACAAAATTATCTAAAACATACTTAGAGATAGCATTCAACATAATTTAAAACATTCCAGGTACTATCCAGAAAATATTGGTTCTTCCCTTTCCAATTTAATAAAGATAATTAAAAAGAAATACCAGCCCTTTCTTAAAATTGGAAACTCATTTCTTTAGAATGATCTAAATAATTGTTTCTATGACTTAAGGCCTGGATGAGTTTGTAAAACCTGGCCCAGTGTGTTTTGAAAATAACCGGGACTTGATTCTGGCCCTAAAATGAACAGGTCTGAATAATAAGCTGTTTCCTTAAGTGATCTGTTTAAGCTTGCTGAATGAATGGACATATACTTACAACACCCTCATGATCTATTGAGCCAAGCACATTCCAGCAAAGAAGATAGTACCATTGAGACTGGTAACTCTGTTGCTAAAAGATGTAGTCATAAAAAGAAAAATCACGTGATTGTACTTGACTTATAATGGCAGTTTGTCAATGACCTCCAAGCAAGTAATTAAACACAATGTTGTGACTGTGACTCGTAATCTCCTGCTTGCTTCCCCATTGATTTGCTTTTTGGAAGCCAGAGGTGAAGGTTGCAAATGGTGATCATGTGACTGGGTACTGCAACCACTGTAAATGTGTCCTGGTTGCCAAGTGCCCAAATTGTGATCACATGACTGCAAGGATGCTACAACAACTGTAACTTCAAGGAGCAGTTGTAAATCTCATTTTTCAGTGCCATTGGAATTTCAAATGGTCACTTAATGAGTGTTTGATAAGTGAGGACTTATTTAGGGATAGCACCTATTTTCATTACGGAAGATAAACCATTTTCATTGCAACAAAGGAAATACTACAAACTATACAATATTTATACTGTTCAATAGGGCTAGGAATATACCTAACATGATCTACTTTAGGGCATTATTTTGTTATTAAGAAAAATCTCACCAAGAATGAAAAGAACAAGGCAGCAGCTGAAAGGAAGTGCCAGATATCATGGTCATCAAAGAATCCCAGAAGGATACATGGTCGGTTTTTTTCACGAGACTGTGCTGGAGTTTCCTGGAAGAAATGATAAAACCAGTGAATTCTAGATGTTCTCCAATAGAAAATGTAACCTTATGTCTGATCTAGCCTTATATCTCAATGATTAAATGTTCTTCTCTACCTAACTATGAAAAGCACAGTAAGCAAACTCACTAATCCAATCTAAGGAGGAAACAAGTGGTGAAGAGGATAAAATGGATGAATGAATCTATTAAGGTTTTCTATGTCAGGGCTTTTCAACCGGTGGTAGGTGTACCACCAGTGGTACGCGAGCACCTGGCTGGTGGTATGTGTAGGATGGGTTGAAAAAAAATGTAAAAAAAAGTGTAAAAGTGGATGAGGTGAAGCGGCAGCAGCACCACACAGGCTTGTGTCAAAGTCAGCTGGAACTGCAGGTTGCCTGGGTCCTACTGAAAGCCCAGGATCAAAGCGTGCAGCTTTGGCGGCAGCCTTGGGGGTAGCAGGCAGTCTCAAGCAGTCTTCAGTGGAGATTCCGCTGGAGCTGCGTGACGCATTGCCTGGGACCCCCCTGCCCCCACCCAGATGCCCTCACCTCCCCCAAGTGTTTTTTTTTACTCATCTGGTTTCAACAGCCTTCCCTTTCTCCTGTCCTTCTCAGCCTTCATGTGAAGTTAGAAAGTTAGAAAGTCTCATGGAACTTTTTTTCTTTTTCACCCACAAACACGTGGCAAAGGCAGAGAAACAAAAGGAGAAAGGTAGTGCAGCTGAAAGCAGGTGGGTAAAAAAAATGCTTGAGGGAGGCGAGGGCATCTGGGCGGGGGCGCCAACCTTACCCTGCATGGTGGCGAGAGGGTTAACAGCGGGTGCGGGGGCCCCAGGAGGAGCTGCACAAAGCAGGCAGAGGGGAGGCTGGGCAGATTGTGGGCGCTGGCAAGCGAGCAAGATGGGCAGGGGCACGAATCAGCGTGTGCTCAGAAACGCCGATCTCATGCTCCTGCTCATCTCATTTGCTTGCAGAAAGCTGTAAAGTTTACAGCACCACCTTTTGGGAGGGGGGAATAAGAATGGGCAAGCTGAGCAGGGTGGGATTGGTAGCTGCGTGTCGTTGCTCCGACCACCGTTAGAGGGCGTGGGGCGGCCCTCCCTGGCAAGGCCCTGCCTGCTTTTCCTGCCGCTCTCATAGCTATCCTCTGGTCACTGGGCTCAGCTCTCACCTAGAGAGCAAGGCCCGTTTTTGTCCACAGGTCAGTGCAGCGATGGGGCTGGAGCCCGAAAAGCGCTCCTTTGCACCTGGGGAGGGGCTGGAATTGCTGCAGCTGCATTTTGGCTCGGTGCTGAGGAGCCTCCCGGGGTCCAGTCTGGTGCTGAGGCTCCGCCATGCTCGTAAAAGAAATGCCCGGGGCTGCATGTGGCTCCAGGCTGCGGCTGCAGCAATGAATGAACTGCTTCCCCGCTCACTGCTTTTCTCCGGCTGCGGCTGTGCACAATGCACCAGAGGGAGTCCGGCAGCTGCGGCTCTTTCCCCGCCCCATGTGCTCCTCCGCTGCCTGCACTCTCCTGCCCCTGCGGAAGAACAGTGGCTGTGCTGGGCTCCCGGCTGCACTGAGTGCAACCGCCACTCCTTTTCAAAGGAAGCAGCCAAGGAGAAGCAGCAGGCAGGAACCGCAGCAGCCGCTGTTGCATAGCCGTCTGACTCAGCAACAGCAGCAGTGGCAGCAGCAGCAGCCAAACTCCAATTGCCTCCTCTGGGCTCTTTTATGCCCTCCCCGCTCCCATAGTGCTGGACAATGGGAGGGAGGGAGGGAAGGAAGGGACAAAGAGAGGAGGAAGGACAGGAAGGAAGGGACGGAGGGACAATGGGAGGGAGGGAGGGAAGGAAGGAAGGGATAAAGGGAGGGAGGAAAGGAAGGTGCCCATGCCTGTCCCACCCCCCTCCACCAGAGACTCACAGATCCTCCCCACATCCCCGCCCGCACCCCCCACAACCTGAGTGATGAGCTGGCCATGCCCCCTGGCCATTGACTTTGCTTGTCAAAAAGTTGCAAAAGATGATCACATGACCCTGGGACACTGACCGTCATAAGTATGAATCAGTTGCCAAGCATCCAAATGTAAATCACATGACCCTGAGGATGCTGCAACAGCATTAAGTGTGAAAAATGGTCATAATTTGCTTTTTTCAGTGCCGTTGTAATTTTGAACAGCGAATTGTTATAAGTCGAGGACTACCCGTACTTTATAATTTTTTCCTTTTTTTTTTTTGGGTCAAGTTTTGAAACCTTGCTGGGCGACTGGTGTTACTCGGATATTGCCTTATCCTAAAAGTGGTACAATGGGTGAAAAGGTTAAAAAGCCCTGTTCTATGTAAGCTGCTCTGAGATTTTTAGAGGGTATTTAATTAAGTAGCTATGTAATAAAATAAATATCAAATATAATTAAAATGTGTCTGATAGTACCAACTATATAATGCCCATGAATTTCAAATGCTAAAATGTCAAATAATTTTCTTCAGCAGCATTAATAAGGTTTTATAAGTAATTGGTGAAACTGAATTACACATCAAAAATATGATTTTGCTTTTTTAATGGTTTGCTCTGGCTTTACCAAACCTGGTATTTAGGCAAATAGATTGGTCCTTATATAGGTAGAAATTTACACTCTTGATGTTAAGGAATAGTTTTAACAGATGTGTTCTTTATAAATTTTTGAAATGTATTTATATTATAAAAAAGGGAAGGAGAAAATGGAATAATGTGTTACTATATGACCTACATTCAACAATAAGTTAAAGTATCACACTATAGTTTTATATTAATATTCTATAGGTCTTAGCATAAGAAATTAGGTCCCAGTGAAGGAAGCCAAAGCTGAGTTTTAAATCAAAACAAATTTGATTGTGAAATTTTGTCCACATGTTCTCTAATGCTTCTTCGACTCCTTTCCTTCTGGTAACTTTTGGTCATTTCAAATACTCCTGAAGTACAACAGAAACAAGAAAAAAGGGAAGGAACCTACCTCCCAGCTACTGGGGTTCTGGAAAAAGAAATAAAGAGCTGCAGCCCAAACCACAGCTGTGGCCACAATACAAAAGAGGGGGAATGGCAATAGCTTCTCTGAACTGCGGAGCTGGAAAGACAAAAAGTATAATATTAGAATGGGCATTTCCTATGAGATACACAAAAAAGACTCAAAATGGATGTAAGGGAGAACTAATCAAATTTTTAGAAAAGCTAGAATTTTCTCTTCAAGCCACTCTAGCTTTCTCTAACTTTAAAGAGCTTTCAACCCCAACCTTAGTTGAAAGTTAAGAGGAATCTGCCTGAATTTGTTCCAAATTACCATGTTCTTAGCATTCCTAGAAATCTAAAATGTGCAGCTATTCTAAAATAACAGCAGTTCACACCTGGTCCTAGGTCCTTCAGGAAGGGGGCTAATCTCATTTTTGACTGAAAGTATGGGGCCCTTCCTCTTCCTTCTTTTCACCTGGCATTTCCATATAAGGAGCCTGATGATAATTGTAAACTTTGTTTAATTGCGTTTTCCCCTTTAAGTTTGAGGTTGCAGAATGTAGTTAATACCTGTCTTTAAATTAATAGTTGATTTGTGCTTTTCCAAGTTTAGACAGATCATATGTATTCCTAATAATAATAATAAGTTGGAAGGGACTTTGGAGGTCATCTAGTCCAGCCCCCTGCTCAGGCAGGAAACCCTATACCATTTCAGACAAAAGGCTGTCCAGTCTCTTCTTAAAAACTTCCAGTGTTGTAGCATTCACAGCTTCTGGAGGCAGGTTGTTCCAGTGATTAATTGTTCTGTCAGAAAATTTCTCCTTAGTTCTAGGTTGCTTCTCTCTTTGGTTAGTTTCCATCCGTTGCTTTTTGTCCTGCCTTCAGGCGCTTTGGAGAATAGCTTGACTCCCTCTTTTTTGTGGCAGTCCCTGAGATATTGGAACACTCATCCTTCTCTTCATTAAACTAGACATACTCAATTCCAGCAACCATTCCTTCTATGTTTTAGCCTCCAGTCCAGGGGATCATCTTTGTTGTTCTTCTCTGTACTCTTTCTAGAGTCTCAATATCTTTTTTACATTGTGGTGACCGAAATTGGATGCAGTATTTCAAGTGTGGCCTAACCAATGGTATTAACACTTCACATGATCTTTATCACATGATGTTAATGCAGCCCAACTGTGTTGGCTTTTTTGGCAGCTGCAACATACTGCTGGCTCATATTTAAGTGGACACCAAGATCCCTCTCACAGTTGCTACTATTGAGCAAGGTACCACCTATATTATTCCTGTGCATTTGTTTTTTCTTGCCTAAATGCAGAACCTTACTTTTTTCACCATTGAATTTCATTTTGTTAGATAGAGCCCAAAGTTCAAATCTGTCAAGATCTGTCTATATCTTAAGCCTATCAAATATACAAAATGTGTACTCTCTTTCTCTTAAGAATAACTTCATCATAAATTAATATTCGCTGAGGTCTCTTATCCAAAGGCTTAAAAAGCTATAGTCAACTCTTTTTTTATTAAAAGTTTTACAAATTTAATACATTATAACCCAAACCCCTCCCACCCCTTCCCCCCTCCCCCACTTCCCAGAGCTGATTACAAGGTAAAAAATAAACAAATATAATCTAACTAACATAACCCGACTATACTATCAATCAACACTTTAACTCCTTTTCAAAACAAGTATTAACAAATTAAAAACAAAAATAATAATATAATTAAACCATAATACTAAAAATAATATAAATTCAACCATATTGAACTATTAAAAATAATTTAAAATCTACTCATAAGCAAGATAATACTTTTCAGTCTCATATTTCTTTTGAATATAATCAATCCATCTTCTCCAAACTGAAATATATTTTTCTTGTGAATGGTCCTTCAAATAGGCGGAGATTTTCGCCATTTCTGCTAAATTAGACACCTTAACTATCCATTCTTCCATAGTAGGCAAAGAGTTTTTCTTCCAATATTGCCCCACAAGTAATCTTGCAGCTGTTATAAGATTCAGCATCAAATCAATTTCTTTGACATCAAAATCTACAATCATACCCAGCAAAAATAATTGCGAAGTAAACTTTATCTTTCTCTTAAAAATCTTTTGAATATTCCACCAAATCTTAATCCAAAAAGCTTTTATATCTCTACAAGTCCACCAAATATGAAAATAGGTTGCGTCTAAGCTTCCACATCTCCAACATTTGGGCTGTAAATTAGGATACATGCGGGACAACTTTTGAGGATCCAAATGCCATCTACAAAACATTTTATAAAAATTTTCTCTTAAATTTTGAGCTTGAGTAAATTTTACATTTCTAACCCAAATTGTCTCCCATGTATCCAATAAAATCGGCTCTTGAATATTTTGAGCCCATTTAACCATACAATCTTTAACTAACTCCGTTTCAGAATCCAATTCTATTAAAACATAAATTCCCTTTATATGAGCTTGAGTTTGGTCTTTAATCTGTTTTACCAAATTCACATCCTCTAAAGTAATACCAACCTTTTGATCTATACTCCACCTCACTAACAATTGATTATACTGAAACCAAGAGTGTACAATATTTTCTTGCTTCAACTCAGCTAGAGATTTTAATTGCCAGTCCTTCCCTTCCAAACTAAGTAATTCCTTATAAGAAATCCTATCCAAATTCACTCCTCTAGATACCCCCTCTACAACGTGTCCGGGAATCCCCCAAATTGGAATTTTATAATTTAACCTATAATAATATTTCTTCCAGACACGTAATAAAGCATTTCTTAAAATATGAGATTTAAAAACCTGATCCACATTTTTGTCATAAATTAAATATGCGTGCCATCCATATAATAAATCCCATCCCTCAAGAAAAAGAATATTTTTATTTGTTAAGTTAAGCCAGTCACTAATTGATGTTAAAGCCACCGCATCGTAATACAATTTTAGATTAGGCGCCTTGAGTTCTCCTCTCTCCTGTGCATCTTGTATAATCTTAAACTTAACTCTTGGTTTTTTCTCTGCCCAAATAAACTTGTTAATCCTCTTCTGCCATTCCTCCAAATTTTTTCAAAATAGGTATCATTTGGAACAAAAAAAAAGAAACTTTGGAAGAATATTCATTTTAACTGCTGAGATTCTCCCCAGTAAAGATAACTGTAATTTTTTCCAATCATTTAAATCCTTTTGCACTTTTACCCATTATGTCTCATAATTATTTTTACACAATTTAACATTAGAAGCTATAATGTATACTCCTAAATTTCTCACTATTTCAAAACCTGTTAATTTAGCCAAAGTATCCTTTTCCTTCATAAACATATTTTTCGATAAAATTTTAGTTTTATTATTTATCTTAAAACCAGAAACCTTCCCATACTGAGTTAAAATTTCAACCAGATCCCTAACCGAATCTATCGGTTGAGATAATGTCACAACCAAATCATCAGCAAAAGCTCTTAATTTATAATCATTCTTATTTATTTTTATTCTCTTTATTCTAGATGATTCTCGAATTTTAATAAGTAAAATCTCCATTGTTAAAACAAATAACAATGGGAACAAAGGACATCCCTGTCTAGTGCCCTTTTCAATGTTAAATGCATCTGTTAATCCACCATTAATTATAATTTGTGCAGATTGTTGTTGATATATACCTTAAGAGCATACAAAAATTTATCCCCAAAATTCATTTTTTCTACTACTCTCAATAAAAATTGCCAATCTAATTGATCAAAAGCTTTTTCAGCATCCAAAAATATCAAAGCTGCAGGGATTTGATTATTCTTGTCCAAGTATTCAATTAGATTAACAATTTGTCTTACATTATATTTCATGTATCTTCCAGTTATAAATCCAGATTGGTCACTATGTATCAAATGCTTCAAAACTTGCATTAATCTATTTGCCAATATTTTAGAAAAAATCTTATAATCTGTGTTCAAAAGAGATATAGATCTATAATTTTTAGGCTGAGTCAAGTCTTGATTCTCCTTTGCGATCTGTGATATAAAGGCCCTTCTCCAAGATGGAGGTACCTCTGCTCCTAACAGAATATTATTAAAAATTCCTTCAGTGGTTGTATCATTTCTTCAGGTAACATTTTATAATAAATTGCTGTTAATCCATCTGTATCTGAAGCCTTACCAACCTTTAATTGCTTAATTGCCCAAATGATCTCTTCAGAAGTAATTAAACCATTAATGTCATCTCGTTGAGCATTTAAAAGTCTAGGAAAATGTGCTTCCTGTAAATACTTTCCTATATCTGAAACTTGTATACTTTCGCTAGCATATAGCTTTGAATAAAAATCTAAAAAACTTCTTTTAATCAAATTTTGTTGATATACTTCTTTACCTTTATAATTTATTTTCTCTATAATCCTTGATTTCTGTTTCTTTCGTGGTTGGTAAGCCAACCACCTACCAGGTTTATTTGCATTACAAAATATGTTATGTTTCATATACTGCAAATTAATTGCAGTCTGATCAGCTATTAACATATTAAATTGCTCCTTAAGCAAAGTTATAGAAACCTTTGAACTATTGTCCAATGGATTTAAAATAAGAGCCTTCTCCTTACGTTTAATCTCTTCTTCCAACTGTTTACGTTTCTGCATCTGTTTTCACCTATATGCATTATTCATATGAATCAAAACCCCTCTCATATATGCTTTACTAGCATCCCATACCATTGGCATCGAAGTACCCTTATACATATTGAAAAGAAAAAATTCCTTTAAATAATCTTTACATTTCTGTAAATTCCCCTCATGTCTAAATAAATTTTCATTCAATCTCCAAGTCCTTCTATTCCCATCTTCAGTAGATAACTCCAACCATACAGGGCTATGATCTGACAATATTCTAGGGAATATCTTGGCATTCTTTACCCTGGAAAAGAGATCATTAGTGATTAAAAAAAAGTCAATTCTGGAGTATGATTGATGCCTGTCTGAAAAAAAACGTAAAGTCTCTTTCTTCAATATTCTGTTCTCGCCAGATGTCTGTAAGTTCCAAATCATCCTTCAAATAAAAAAAAAAACTTTAGGTAATTTTGCGTCATTAGGAGATTTAAAAGAACCCTTCTTGTCTTTACTTGAGTCTAAGACACCATTCCAATCTCCCATCATAATAACTGATTTATAATCCAATTGAATTAATTTCTGATGTATCATCTTATAAAAGTATTTTTGTTGTTGATTAGGTGCATATAATCCAATGATAAGACATCTCTTACCATTTAATAAAAAATCAATAATAACATATCTTCCTTGTGGGTCAGAATCAATTTTAACTTCGGCGATAAATCTTTCCTCACATAAATTACTACTCCTCCTTTTTTCTGCGGAGCAGGGGCTGAAAAATGTACTCCCAGTCGGGAGTTAATCAAATACTTTTGATCCTTTAAAGCAATATGAGTCTCTTGCAAACATATAGCATCATTCTTGTGTTGTTTCAAGTAATAAAATTCTTTCTTTCTTTTCTGTGGTGAATTCAAACCATTAACATTTCATGTCAGAAACTTTGCCATCTTTAGTGGCATGAAGCCTTCGAAACACTGCATGTAAATCTGCAGTCGATGACCTTTTCGGTCTTGTTCCTCCCACTGGCTCTGAGGTAACCACTTGTTTTGTAGATCCAACATCTACCTTTTGCTGCTCTTTTTCTTTACGTTTATGAGTTGCACGAGTCATTCTTTGTTCCTTTGAGTCATCTTTTATCTCCAAACACTGCTGCATAGATTCAACCAACAATTCTTCTCCTACTAATGACATTGCTCCTACAGCCAACTGTCCTTCAAACTTGCCTTCATTTGTTTTAGATCGTGGAGATGGTGGTGCACCTGCCTTAAGAACAGAAGCATAAAAATCTCTTGCTTTTAAAATTGTATTAAGTCTGTAACGTGTCCCAACGTAGTTCACCACTATTCCAACAGGTACATCCCATCTAAACTGAATCTGTCGTTTCTTCAGCTCCTCAGCCAAAAAAGCAAAGTCCTTTCTTTTTCTGAGAATTTTTGGAGGTATTTCTTTCAAAATTATAATATCTTGAGCTGCAATTTGAAATCTCTGCTTGTAAAAAGCCTGTATAATTTCATTACGAAGTGATCTTCTGGAAAAATAAATAACTACATCTCCTGGTAAATTTCTCTGCCTCACAATCCATGAATTACCCTAAAAAAAATTCTATATCTTTCAACATTTCTTCAGGTTCACACCCCAAAATGGAGTGTAATTCTGCAGCAATTTCTTCTTTCAGATTCTCTTGCACATTCTCCTTCAAGCCTCTTATTCACAAAGCAAATTCCATATCTCTATATTGTGACATATTAATTTCATTCTGCGCTGTATCAACATCCTTCTCAACTTTTCCAACTCTGTCCTCTAATCTTTCAGCACTTCCCACCACCTCATCCACATGCTCATCAAGGCGTTCTACATGAGCTGCAAGTCCCTGGAGAGCCAGCACAATATCTTCTCTCATCTCATTATTTTTCTGCTCCAAAAGCTCTGCTGTCTCATGTTTAATCTGTTGTGCAGTTTTCTTGTAAAACATCCTGTAAATCTTTAAGTGTGAGTGCATGAGATGGGGGGAGGGTGGAGGAGACTTAGGCTTAGATTGCTGTACAGCCTGAATTACTGGAGAAGAAATTGAGCCTTTAGGAAGAGAAGAAATTCCAGGGCGTTTTGAAGCCATTTTCCAGCTTAAAAAAAAAACCTCTTCTTATAGCAAAATAAAATAAGGGGATAATAAAAAAAATCCCCCATACAAAAAAGAAAAAGGGAAGCTGACTCTTTAAATAAGCAGGGTCTGTTACATTATATAAACTTTGTTGCCATATGAAAATGAAAGTCTTTCTTAACAATATCCTTTCAGACAAAGAAACAGGATTCCTCCGCCATCTTTCCTCCCTCCTTTTGTTAAAATAATAGGTGAAGAAGATATTAATTCTTTCTTGAGTTAAAGTTTCAAATCATCACAATTCTGATCCTCCTGAACAGCTCCGTCTGCTTTTAGTTTTACTCACGATTCTCTTTAAGCAGCAGATGTGGAAGCAGTGTCTAGCTTCATTCCGAAGAACAAAGGCATCCTGGGATGTGGAGATGATCCAGACTCCGAGGGAGTTCACACCCTTCGTCTCTCAAAAATAAAATTTTGGGAGATTAGAGGAACTCAACCTCTATCTGGAAAAAATGCACCTTCTTCCCTTCTCCCGGGAAGAGAGGCTTCAAGCCGCAAAACAGCTGATGATCGCTGTTTTTGCCGGCTTTTACGCATTCCCGAGGCGGACGGCTAAGAAAAAGCCACCTCGGCGCGGCCATCGCCACCAGAAGTCCATCATAGTCAACTCTTAAAGGGCAGATCTGAAAGATGAGCGCTGAGCAAACATATTCTACCATACAACAATCTAATTCCCCCTTCAAAGCAGTCTAAGTTTGGCAATATAAAGGACATTAACTAACAAATAATAAGAACCACTTACCTTCATGATGACATAAAAGGCAAGATATAGCAAAAGATTGCAGATAAAAATGCCCAGCATGTAAGAAGCAAAATCCTTTGGCCGATATACAAGTCCAAAAATTGCACTAAAAGGGAAGAATAAAGGCAATGTAATCAAAGATGGTTGCATAAAACTATGCAAAGCTGATCCAGATTAATTTATTTAGAATAACTATGATTTTCTAGCCAGAAAAATATAACTATGTTTTAATGAATTGTTTTAATTATAGTTGTAAAGCATCTTGATCTACCTGAAAACCAAATAAAGATCATCCATTTGTCAAAACCTCTTGCCGTAAATCCACTAGTTTAATTAAAAATGGCTCCAGAGAACAATTAGTAAGTGATGGTTTTGTTTAATTATAGAATATTTGAAAGATTTAAACTTGATAAAAAAGCTTTGTTTTCACTGAATTGGATATCAATTTATGTTCTGGAGATGACCACTTAATTGCTAAAATATATAAAATGTTACTCAAGATGAAGATGATGTTACTGCAAGATGAATATGTAAAAGACTGCTTGGTAAAGTGGGCAAAAATGTTTGGGTATAATATAGATAAATGGGAGAATGTATGGACTAATAGATTAAAATTATATTTTCAAATATTTTTTTTATAAAATGATATATCATTGGTATTTGACTCCAGATAGATTAGCAAAAATGTATAGAGGGACCTCTAACAAGTGTTGGAAATGTAATCAAAATCCAGGTACAGTTAATCATATATGGTGGTCCTGCAAGTATGTGAAAACATCCTGAATAAATGTTATAATGATACTGCAGAAAATATTAAGGAAACAAATATTAATAAAACCTGAAGCTTTTCTTTTAGGTATTATGGATAAATCAATCTAAAAACAATTTTGGAACTCTGTTTCTTTACATGGTGACCGTTGCAAGGATTGTGCTTGCTAAGCCCTGGAAAGGAGATGCCGACTGTTGAAGAATAGATTTTAAAATTGATCGAATTAGCAGAGATAGTGAAATTAACTGCCTTGATTAGAAATAATGGGCTAGACAGCTTTATAAGAGACTGGAAGCCATTTGTGGACTTTCTACATGTTAAATACAATAACAGACGGTTAACAGAAGGATTTGAAGACTAGTATAATATTTGGGCCAACGTTGAGTGTTTTTCATTTTTTTTCTTTCACTTTTTATATATATTAGATGTTGGGTCGATTCGATTATTAGATAGAGATCTCATCTGAAATATTTGTTTATATAATATATTTTTCTTGTTAAATGAGGATGAAAAAGTTTTTAACTTTCGTAAGTTTCACTTTGCCTTCATTTGTAAGTTTATAACTATTTGCATGCAAGGGGAGGAGAATTTATCACATTTTTTAAATTATTTTTTTCAGCATCCAGCCAATTTGGATTTTTTTTTTTTATGTTTAATGTTGGATGTTTGAGTTGTTTTTTTTTCTTTTTTCCTCTTTTGTACACTTTTTTCTTTCTTTTTTTTGTTGCTCTTACTGTTGGATGTATATTTTTGTTTTTTTTCTGCTTTGTATTTTATTCCCATTGATAAAACATAATAAATATATATAAAAATGATTCTGACCATGACTCCCAGGCACTGTAGAAGCAAGTCTAAATCAAGCTTAAGTCAGAGTCACTAGACTCATTCAAGCAGAGGCTGTTCCTCTGCTGGGGATGGCAATACCTTTAGGCTTGATTAAGACTTGCCCACAACTGTGCATAGTTGTGAACACATATTTATGTTGTGAAGGGGTTGATGGGTAAGTGTAGGTTGCAGATTGGGCTGATGCACACATCTTCCAAATCTCAACTATGTGTTGCATGGAGATGTGTGCCCTACGTACTGACTGGTTGATCTAACTTCCTGTTGGGAGGCAGGCAAAAGGCAAGGCACGTTGTTTGAGTACCCCTTAGGCAGGATATTAATATTCACAGAAGTAGACTAGAATAAAATAGAGCTGGAAGGGACCTTGGAAGTCTTCTAGTCCAGTCCCCTGCTCAATAAGGAGGATCTATACCATGTCAGACAAGTGACTGTCTAGCTCTTCTTAAAAATATCAAGTGATGGAGTGTCCACGATTTCTGGAGGTAAGCTGTTCCACTGGTTAATTGTCCTCATTGTCAGGAAGTTTCTCCTTAATTCCAGGTTACTTCTCTCTTTGATCCTTTTCCAACCATTGTTTCTTGTTCTGCCCTCTGGTGCTTTGGTGAATAATGTGACCCCCTCTTCTTGGTATAAATATAAATGCAATAACAATGCAATCATCTCAAAACAACAGGCACATATGCTCCCTGATGTGCAGAGACGCAGAAATCTAAATCAAGCTTAAAGCTGAAGTATAAGGGGGGAAGAGGAAAAGAAGGAACTAGTATGCATTCCAATAGTTTGCTAAGCTAATTCCATAATGAAGTTTGGTTCCTATGCTGCAATAATCATATTAAGAATTCTGGAATTTCCAGGGTGGGGAACAAGGAATGGGAAGACATTGTTAAGTATTAGATAATTTGTCAACTTGAAAAAATGTTTTAAAAATAGCAGGCAGCACTATATCAGAGACAGAGCTTCTTCAATAGACACTTGTATCTCTTCATTGTACAAAATAAATCTACAAACATATAAGCATATATTTGCTACTTACAAAGACCAGTTAACCAGGTTCCCAACAACAAGCAAAATCATTCTGTCCTAGAGAAGAGAAAGAATAACCAAAAATGAACAACTGACAAGGCATGCAGTCATAAAGTCATAGCAACATTTTCCTGTTTTATCCCAATGCTTTCAACAGGAAATAATTAACAACATACTTAAAGTTATGTGGATGAAATAAAAAAAATCAAAATGGAAATATATAGAGCTCAACCGAATGGTGAAGAGAAATTGCTGGGAAGACAAGAAAGAATGATTGGAACAGAAAGGCACTGAAGTGCAAGAAGCGGCCAGTCGGAATGATTCCAAAACTCTTTATTACATTGCTAATGAACTGACTGGAATAAGGAATAATTCCAGTGTTGCGATCAGGAATAAGAAGGCACCAACTGGCGGGACATTACCCTCCTCTCGGTGCCTGGAAAGACTTTTTGCATAATTCTCCTTAGGCAGTTGCAAAGTGCCATATACATTGTCTGAGAGAAGAATAAGCTGGATTTTGCTTTGGAAGGTCCTGCTGAGAACAAATCTTCACCTTATGAAATAGAACAGTGCACTGAGTATTGACAACCACTGGCCATCAACTTTATTGATTTTAAGAAAGCATTTAACTGTGTCCACTGAGAATCTCTATAGCAGATCCTACATTTATGTGGTTTACTGACAGATTTCATTATTATCTTTAAGGATTTATACTATCAAGCTGCTGCGTTAGGACCAAAAATGGTCGTATGGACTTCTTCGAAATTACTACTTAGACAAGACTGTATTCTATCACCACTCCTCTTCCTCATGGTTCTCAACTATATTATGCAATTAAAATCCCGCATTGGGAAAGGCATTCATTAGTTTGACCAAGACTGTCTTGGCAACCTGATACTGCTCTACTTGAAGAAGACAAGACAAAACTGCAAGTGACAACTGCCTTAGATAAAGATGCAAACAAAATTGGCCTCAGAATAAGTGCCAAGAAATCGAAGATCGTGTATGTGAGTTTTATCGTAGAGATGGACATCAAGTGCTGCATTGGAAAAGCAACAGCTGGTTCTCTGGTTCTCATCATCTATATCACTAAAACGTAAACTCCATTTGCTCACCTCTATAGTGATCTTGACAGCCATTTATGCCAGCAGGACTTGGAAGGCATCAGTAAGTATTAACAAGATATCTTCCAAAAAAGATCCTAAAGATTCGTTATTTTGATCATATTACTAATAAGAAATATGATTTCTCCTGCAAATTACATAACATTGTCACATGCAGAAGACTCCAACTTGCAGGTCATATTCTCCGCATGGAGAACAATCAAATCCCCAAGCTGGGAATGAGATGGATTCCCACCCCACTGCCAAACAACCAAGAGGACACTCTTGAAATACATGGTGAAGAATATTCATAGAAGACTTAAAAACTCTAAACATCACATGGGAAGGTGCTGAAGCACTCACTCAAGATCCCTTGCTTCCTGATATGCTACATAGCATGGGAGGATCTAATGCTAATGCTAATACTTAAAAGTTTCTGATGTGAAGTTGTGTATCTGATATACATTTGCATTTGCTTTAGCATCATTATAAGTTTTTAGAGCATGTTTGATCATTTAGAAATTTCAACTCTCATTCCATGTATACCATGCAAACACAGATCACCCTCCATTATCCAGAGCAGTTTGATCATCTGAATGCAGGAATTAAGCTACAAAAACTTATAAAAAATCATAAGGAGCTCTCTAGTCCATTGACTTCAATCCTGAATCCAGATTAAAAAAAATATCTGAGAAATGTTTGTCCAGTCTTTACTTAAAAACATCTAAAGGGAACTTACTATCTTTGTTAGGGTACATATATTCTTATGTTAAACCAAAATCTACCATTTGGTAACTTAATTACATAATTATTATTCAAGAACAGGATGAAGTATCTTTTTGAAGAAGTCTTTTTGTTGTTTGAGTTCTCAGTTTTCTCATCAAATTAAAAAAACCCCTCTTTTTGTTAATTAAACAAAGTCTCTCTTTGCAGGACTGAGTTTTTAGGCTCCTGATAATTCTTGCTGTCTTCCTTAGACAGAGTGCCAGAGTACTAGAATTGCACATAATTTTTGAGATGGGATTTGACCAATGCAGAATAAATTGCATTAGAAAGGAAAAATAGCAGTGGTGGGAATGACATCTTTCTCAGCAATGCAAATAAAATATGAAGAAAGAAACCAGCTATGATAAAAAAGGAACTGAGAAAAGAACATCAACCACATATAAATATACAGGTAGTCTTTGAGTTATGATAACTGAGAACAGAATTTCCCTTTGTGTGCAATACAGTCATAAAGTATGATATCACATGAACAGATTGCTTAGTGATGGACTCTCTTTTGCTGTCATTATCCAAATCCCATCAGTCATTAGGCGAAGATTCATCCTGATCCAAGCCATTCCCAGCTTGGTACTCCCAGATCTGAGCTTCGTTAAGGTAAGGGACTGCCTTCTTTACCCACACATCTATCCTCTTCTTCCTCCCTCATCATTGCCCTTTTAACTACCTTGCACTCTGCTGTCTCTGCCAGCCTTGCCACCGCTTTGTGTTCCTCTTGCCTTGCCTTCCACCCTGTGCTTGCTGGCCCTGCCTCTTTGCTACATCTAACTGACCTTCACAGTTTTCCTCCCTCTGCTGATGAAGAACACCCAGTTTGGCCCTATGCAAGGCAATTACTGGTTATGTCAGGCCTTCTTCCCAAGATTACATGTGTCATTCTCTAAATAATGTCTACCATTCTTCAAATAATGTGGGCCATTCTCATGATGCTTTGGAAAGCTTCTGAGGCATTCTGAAGCATTGCAAGAACAGCCTACACAATTTGGAGAATGGTGCAAGCAGCCTGAGGTAAAAGGCCTGGCATGGTCAGCAGCTGCCTCACATAGAGCCTGGCTGGGCTTGTCAACAGCAGAAGGAAGATGCCAAAGGTCATCTGGGAACAGCAAAGCTGGTAGGACAAGCAGAGCACAGGGTGACATGGCTAGTAGGCTGGCAAGAGGGCTGGTGGAGTGCTAGGCAGCAGGCCAGCAGATTGAGTGGAATGGAGGGTGGTGGGAACAGCTGAAGCTTAGTGCTATGGTACTGGATGGCTGGGTGTGGCATGGGGTCTTAGGAAACACTCCTTGGTGTCAGTGGAACTTGGGCTGAAGTAGAGGCCCAGGAATGCTGGCACCAGCAGACTGCTGAAGGCTCCAGCCTTCTACATCAATCCTAGTGCCATCACCCCTGCAGAGGAGTGTCATTGTACAGGAAGGCCAAAAGAGCAGAGATGGGGGAGAGAAGTGGGTGGAGGAAGTGAAGCGCCTTAGAGCAGTGGCCCCCAACCTTTTGGGTGCCGGGACCAGTTCCGTGGACAGAGGTTTTTCCGTGGACCAGAGGGAGCATGGTTTCATGTGCTACTTGCATCCTGCAGATGGGGCTTCACTTGTTTGCATGGCCCAATTGCTGGCATACCATGGCCTGGTGTCAATTCTTGGACCGAGGGTTGGGGACCCCTGCCTTAGAGGTTGTAAGTGTGGATGGCTGCCACACACTCATATATCATGTGACTGTGGAGGGTATACTGCTATGGTCATAACCCTAACCCTACCCTCAGGGACTGAGTGTAAGTGCCATTTGTTCAGTGACTGAACTTTAAATGGTCACTGAACGAATGGTCAGATTTTGAGGACTACCTGTGTGCACAGGGGAGAGGGTTCTCCCACTAAAAATCTTGTCAGGCAGAGAAAATTCCAGAGGGTAGGTCTGAGCCGGCGCATCCTCATATAGACTGGGGGAAAAAAATTCCAAGGGGAATTCATCTGTAGTTTGTCTGGTCAAAGTATTTTCAGAAAATAGATTACTATTGCAATGGCAAATAAGACCATTGTGTTTATTTAAACCAACGTATATGTTTTCAAATGAAAAAAAAGCATTTTCATAATCCATCAGAGATAGCTTCAAGGGACTGAAGGAAGTTCTTACCATGTACATGGGTCGGCTGCATTGTTGTATATAATCTGTGTACAATACTATAGCTATACGTCGAAAAATCCCAAGATCTATGGCAGAAAACAACAAAAGGAATTAAAATATGGCAATCAGTGTGGGGAAAAAAAGCATGCACAGCAAACTGCCATGCTTCCCCCCCCCCACAAACCTCATAACCTTTTGATACCCTTTGTCCCAAGGAAGCAGCCAGAAGATCACCCCCTTTTGACTTAATACCTTACCTACCTAAATAAATAATATGCTTAAGTTCCCCCTTATCTCTTCCTGTCTTTGTCAGTTCTTTCTCCTTTTGATCTACATGTATTTGTTTTTACCTGATCTCTGAACAGGTAATATGTTACTAGAAAATAATTGCTTATATGAAGGAATTTTCCAATGAAGAAACTTTATGTCAGCATCTAAAGGTTAAACTTATGAATGTAAAATGTCAGCATTTAATGTAAAAGCCTATGTATGTAAAAAGTATATAAAAACCAATAAACACACAGAGACTCTCAAGCTTTCTCAAGCTGTGACAAGCAGCTCTGCAGCAGCTTCAAATCTCTGCTCAAGACATGCCTGAGTCTTTTTCTTAGCATCTTTACAACTGGTGCCTGAACAGGGACATCCCCTCCCGAGGGAAAGCAGCAACCAACATATTTACAGTCATCTGGAACAGACCCCTTGGTGCACCTTCTCGTCTTCTCGTCCTGCGAGATTTCTCAAACTGTAAGTATGTGCTGCGATATATCTCACCATCAGCAAAAGCATGTAAGAGAGTTAAAGTTTCTCTTACACAAATCAGGCGTGACAATGCCTGAAAGGGAGCTTAGGAAGCTAGTGAGTGAGATAGAAAAAAACTGTCCTTGGTATCCTGAAAGGAGGGCACTCCAGCTTAAGGATTGGGAAAGAATAGGTAACACCCTTCATCAGGAATCCCGAGCCTCAGTTGATGTTTTGCATTGTTGGCATCAATGTCGCCATGCAGTGGAAAAATATGGGGCTGATGCAGTACAATTAAGTTCTACTCCCTCTCCAGGTTTTGATCATGAAAAAGTTTCAGTTCCATCAGCTCCTGTATCTTCCACGATGGATGTGACACCTTCAGAGCAAAAGAATTCTAGATCTTATGTTTCCATTCGCCATGTATTAGAACAGTGGTTCTCAACCTGTGGGTCGGGACCCCATTTGGGGTCAAACGACCATTTCACGGAGGTCGCCAAACAACGCAGTCGGCCATTTTTTCCCCCTTTTCCTTAGGTGTGCTACTCCCTTTTATTCTATTGGCTTTTGAAAGCCAATAGAATAGACTCTCTTGAATAGAGTCTAATTTTATTGGCTTTCAAAAGCCAATAGGAATTGTCCAAGCTGTCTCTGCCCTGCTGAGCCCACCAAAAGTCCCATTCTGCAAACGGTGCTGCAAGTTGTCTGCAGCGAAGGTGAGCTGTCTGGAAGTTTCCACCCCTCCCTGCTGAGCAACTACTAAAAATGTAAGTAAAAGAGAGCCAGGGGTGGGAGGTGGGAGGCCGGCGGGCACAGGGAAGGTTGCTGGCGCGCGTGGGGCCTGGCGGGTGCCTTACCTCCCTTTGGCTGGGCCAGCTGGTGGCCCAGCCGGTGGTCAGCCTGCGCCGTCTCTGCCACTTGCCAGCTACGCCTCGGCCGGCGCAGGGGGCGGCACCACGCATCACGGCGCTCCCGGGCAGGGAAAGTCCTCTACTTATGACTGGTTGGGTAGTCCTCGACTTACGAACGGTTGGGGGTCGCGGTATTAAAAAAGTTGAGAACCACTGTATTAGAAAATCAAATGGCGAAAGGAGAGGGAGATATGCAGGAAATAGCAGATATGCTCTCAGTTTGTCCTGTACATTTGACTGGGCAGGTAGATGCGAATGGAGTCCCAGTGGTTGAATATCGACCACTTTCTTATGCAATCTTAACAGAATTGCGTAAGGGTATAAGAGATACTGGGTTAAACAGTTCATATGTGCAAGGTATGTTAGAAGCAACAATGAGGAATCATGTTTTGGTACCAGAAGATTGGAAAACAACAATTCGTATGTTATTAACACCAGCTCAGTATGTGGTATGGGATAGTGAGTTTAGACATCAATGTGCATTAAGAGCTGCAACTTCTGGAGGTGCTTACCTCCTAGAACAGTTATATGGCTCTGGTGATTACACTCCAGTGGATGCACAAATTGTTTTGCCTATAGCTACTCTTCAAATATCCTCTGAATGTGCTTACAAAGCTTTTGGAAAAGTTCCTATAACTGGGAAACCATCTCAAGCATTTTCAAATATTCGTCAAAAGGCAAATGAACCATATGCAGATTTTATTAACCATCTGCAAGATGCCTTGAGATGATAAATTGATAATCCTGATGCCCAAGCTGAATTGCTTATGAAATTGGCTAAAGAAAATGCCACCACTGAATGTAAACGGGCTCTTATTGGATTGGGAGCAAAACCAGATTTAGCAGAAATGATAAAAGCATGTCAGGATATAGGGACTGTTTCTTTTCAAACTAATCTCTTAGCTGCAGCTCTTACAAAAACTCAGGGGAAATGTTATAATTGTGGTAAAATTGGACACTTTAAACAGGAATGCAGAAATCCTGGGGAAGGAATGTATGCCTCCCGATCATTTAAAAATATGGCTGGGAGACGTCCAAAAACAAAATGCCCTAATCCCTAAGGGATTTCATTGGGCTGATGAATGCCGGTCGGGAAACTTCAAAGTGGGCCGGTCTCTGGTCCCGGTCCAAACAGAGACCCTTCAGTAATTCCATCAACAATTAACAATAGCCCTGCTGCCACTAGAGGGAGTGCTGGGATAGATTTAACTATCCAACAAGAAGTGTGTTTCAAATTTCCAGGAGAAGTACAAGTAGTTCCTTCACAACTTTCTGGACCTCTCCCTTCTGGATATGTTGGATTAATTTTGCCTCGATCTAGCATGGGAAAAAAAGGAATTTTTGTAATACCTGGAGTAATTGATTCTGACTATACAGGTGTCATCTTTATTCAATTATGGACTAACATGCCACAGACTTTGCCAAGCAATACTAGTCTTGCACAATTACTCCATTTGTCCTATTTTGTCCCTGCAGGGGGTCGTGATAGGGATCGAGGGGACGACGGGTTTGGTTCCACGGATCCCATTGTAATTGCATTAACCACCCCAATCACCACCCAGCGACCCCGTCAGACAGTCTTTTTTCAGGGTAAGCCTTTTGAGGGCATAATTGATACAGGGGCTGAGGTTTCAGTAATTTCAGCTAAAGATTGGCCTGCATCTTGGCCCACTGACCCATGCCCTAGTGTCTGGGGTGTAGGAGGGCGACAAGGTGCACGACAAAGTACACAATTTCTTTCTGCAAGTCTTCCTAATTCTACTGTAACTGTTCAACTTCATCCTTTCATTCTTGACATTCATGTCAACTTATGGGGACGAGACTTGCTTAGTAAATGGGGGCCTACCGTCACCTTCGATGAATAAAATGTTTGCCTTACCCTTAACTTGGTAACTACTACACCTGTTTGGGTGGAACAATGGCATCTTCCTCTGTACAAATTACAGGCCATGCACAACGAAGGAAAAACCACAGTGTATTTCCAAACCAACCAGACTTGGAATTTAACTTATTGACCAAAGGAAAACAACCTGGAAATCTTATTATAGTTCCACTTGCAGCATTTACCACAGCTGAGCAAATTAAGTACTTGAGTACTCAATTTGTGGACAGAATTCCACGTAAGAATTGTCACTTAACACTTTTGATATTTCTTACCAGTAAGCTACTTAAAGGAGTATTAGCTGTGTTAGAAGCACAAAAAGTATATTGTATTGAATGGCTTTACTTATCCCATCCCAAAATGTTTTATCTTTTATCCAGGTTGTTGCTGAAATAACCTTAGGACACAATCAAGCTTGTCCTTGAAATGGGACTGATTTAATTTTGTTCTTTCTATCCCAAAATTTGATTTTCAATTTTATTTTCAGAATAACTTATCTCTTCTGCTGCTATTTTAGCTTTCCACACCTTTTCTCAACAGACTTTTAACTTAATCTCTGATTCTCATGATATGTGCCAACTTATTTTTTAATCTTACAGGTGCTTACATCACGCCCAGGATCAACCTCAATCTTATGGCTTTGTTTTTAACTTTACAGCAGCTATCCTTTGTTTTTAAAGGACTGCCTTCACCATGCATACTTAATTTATAATAAAAAAGTTGACCAAGCTTTTAAATCTCATATTTTAAGAAGTGCTTTATTGTGTGTCTGGAAGAAGTATTATTATAAGTTAAATTATAAAATACCAATCTGGGGGATTCCTGGACACGTGATAGAGGGGGTAGCTATGGGTATGAATTTGGATAGGATTTCTTATAAGGAACTACTTAGATTGGTAGGGAATGATTGGCAATTAAAATCCTTAGTTGAGTTAAAGCAAAAAAATATTGTACAGTGTTGGTTTCAGTATAATCAATTGTTGGCTAGGTGGAAGTTAGATCAAAAGGTTGGTATTACCTTAATGGATGAGAATTTGGTAATTCAGATTAAAGATCAAAATCGAGCGCATATAAAGAGAATTTATAATGCTTTAATAGATTTGGATTCGGAAATGGATTTAGTTAAAGATTGTATGGTAAAATGGGTCCAAAGTATTCAAGAACCAATTCCATTGGATATATGGGAGGTAATTTGGGTTAGAAATGTAAAATTTACCCAGGCCCAAAATTTAAGAGAAAATTTTTACAAAATGTTTTATAGATGGTATCTGGATCCTAAAAAGTTGTCTTGTATGTATCCTAATTTACAGCCCAAATGTTGGAGATGTGGTAGCTTGGATGCTACGTATTTTCATATCTGGTGGACTTGTAGAAATATAAAAGCCTTTTGGATTAAGATTTGGTGGAACATTCAAAAGATTTTTAGGAGAAAGATAAAGTTTACTCCACAATTATTTTTATTGGGTGTTATTGTAGATTGTGATGTTAAAGAAATTAATTTGATGTTGAATTTAATAACAGCTGCAAGGTTATTGGTAGGGCAATATTGAAAGAAGGATTATTTGCCTACTATAGAAGAATGGACGCTTAAAGTGTCAAATTTAGCAGAAATGGCGAAAATTTCTGCTTAATTGAAGGATCATTCACAAGAAAGATACATTTCGGTCTGGAGAAAATGGATAGATTATATTCAGAATAAATATGGGATTAAAAAGTTCCATCTAGTTTATGAGTAAATTTTAGAGTATTATTATTATTAATAGTTTATTATAGTAGAATTTTTATTAGTTTTATTATTATTTTTAGTATTAGTATTGTTAACAATTTGGATATTGTATTGTTTAATAATATTGATTTGTTTATATTATTATGTTTATTTTTAATTTGTTTATACCTATGTTAAAGGGGAGTTAAAGCGCATTATGGACTTGGTTATTTATATAGTTGGTTAATGTTAGTTAGAGTTTGATTATTATATTTGTAACTCTGTACTCAGCTCTGGGAAGTGGGGGAGGGAGGGGGGGTTAAGGGGTGTATACTGTAATTTTTATAAAACTTTTCAATAAAAAAAGGACTGCTTTCACAAACAAATAAAAAAGGAGGGGATCAAGGGTACCTAATTTGGCATGGATAACTCGTCAAGTCAATAAAGTCTTAATAACTTTAAACCAGCTAAATATTTCTTTTCAAAACACTACTGCCTACCAGCGTCACTTTCAGCAAAAAGCTGTGCTCCCTAATCCATTGGTATATTGTCAGCAATTGCCTGATAAAACCTGGTTAGGTCCAGTTCCCTTACTAACATGGGGACGAGGCTACGCTGCTGTGTTTGCTCCTACAGGCCCTCTCTGGATTCCAGCCCGGTGTGTGCGACCAGCCAAAGATGTCGTGGCATCAAATCCAGAACCCAATACCAGAAATGAAGCAGGTGACTCTTCAGACAGCACAACGTCCCTTTCACTCTCGCCATTGCAGTTGGCCAATGACCTGGGGCGATGTGAAGAACCTAACATCCAAAACGCAGGAGGTTCTGAGGCAACAGGGAAAAAAAACCTACACCAGAGAATTTATGCGCTGCCATATTTGCAGTTTTGACTGCAAATTCCTTAGTCATTCTTTGCCTCTCTTTCCTTTTTAATTGCTGTGTGGGGGCTCAAACTCTCCCACCTCGCATTATTCAAAAGCAAATTAATGTTTTACATAACTTGGCTTCTGATTTAAAAATTGATACCTTAGGAAATTGGAAATCTTCTTGGAAAGATTGTTCAATATCTCATTATAATAGTTGCTATCCTTATCAGCTGTTGTTGTTTATTTCAATGTCTTTTCTCTTTACTTAATAAGATGTCTTGCAATCTTCCATACTAAGCTAAGACCCACTAACTGCTCCCGCTTAGGATAATGTCTTCACTAATAAAATAAAGAAGAGTGAAATGTGGGGGAAAAAAGCATGCACAGCAAACTGCCATGCTTTCCCCCCCACAAACCTCATAACCTTTTGATACCCTTTGTCTCAAGGAAGCAGCCAGAAGATCACCCCCTTTTGACTTAATACCTTACCTACCTAAATAAATAATATGCTTAAGTTCCCCCTTATCTCTCCCTGTCTTTGTCAGTTCTTTCTCCTTTTGATCTACATGTATTTGTTTTTACCTGGTCTCTGAACAGGTAATATGTTACTAGAAAATAGTTGCTTATATGAAGGAATTTTCCAATGAAGAAACTTTATGTCAGCATCTAAAGGTTAAACTTATGAATGTAAAATGTCAGCATTTAATGTAAAAGCCTATGTATGTAAAAAGTATATAAAAACCAATAAACACACAGAGACTTTCAAGCTGTCTCAATCTGTGACAAGCAGCTCTGCAGCAGCTTCAGATCTCTGCTCAAGACATGCCTGAGTCTTTTTCTTAGCATCTTTACAAATCAGCATTTGACTAAGATCATGTTGAAACAAATATATAACCCAGGACAGAGAAGCAAGAATTGGCATAAAATAGACTGGAATCTACTGAAAAATGTTTGATCTTCCGAAAAGTGACAACGGACCAGTTATTTTAACACTAGTGATAAAAATATGACTGTTTATACCAGTGGTTCTCAACCTTTCTAATGCCGCGACCCCATAATACAGTTCCCCATGTTGTGGTGACCCCCAACCACGTATACATCACTGGGTGCCAGGAGCGTGGCCAAAGGGGAAAAAAATGGCGTATAGCCTTGTTTGGCAACCCCCGTGAAATGGTCATTCAACCCCAAATGGGGTCCCGACCCACAAGTTGAGAACCACTGGTTTATACTATTATTAGACAGCTGAAAACTAAGAAATATTGAGGTAATTAAGAATGGATTTTTATAGGAGATGATTGTAATCTCAATTATGGATTGGTAATCACAGGCTACAAACCTAACATTCATTTACAGCTTCCAGAGCACTTCCAGAATATGTAGCCAAAAATTAGCAGCAAAAATACCAATTTTCAAGGAATATACCATAGCTTTTCCCAATTTGTTTGCTATATGGCAAATCTTTAGAAGAATGTATTTACTCTTTTCACCCCTTAATCCTCTAAAAATTAGAAGTAGGTACTTCTAAATAGCATTTCAGTCCCACCTAAAATTATCATACTATGAACTTGGTCTTTTATACTGTATGAGGCTGAAGAAACAGAAAAAGAAAGTTCATCCTACCCCTTCCTGTAAATTGCTCATTTCTATTATAATAGAGCAATAATCTGAATGCGACTTATCTCTTAAGACACATTTTGAGGCATGGACTGCTTTCTACCAGCTCTGGCTGATACATTAATGTTGACTCTTCTGGGACATAGATAACATGGAATATCTGGATACTGTATCACAATTCATGTAATGGAAAAATACAGTTTTATCAAAACAGAGCTGCTAGCTAGAATCTTGACCAAGACAGGGAGAATGGAAATATTTCAATAGCTCCCAACACATTTTTGAATGCAGATATTTGCTTTAATACTGTACTTAAAAGTTTCATGCAACTAAAGACATGTGTACCTGAAAGGCTATCTTTTTCTCTAAGAATCTTTGCTGCTATTACCCAAGTCTCAGAATAGATGGGCTGTGTCAGCTGTAGTGTCCTCACTATTCCATGCTCTGAGTCCCTAACTTCGACCTTCTATTTTCTCAGGTCTTTCCAATGTTTAACTAGAGATACCATCCCTACTTTTTGTTTTGCTTAGATTGCTTTTTAAAATCAGGCCCTATGGAAGCATTTTATAAAAAGATATCTGCCAATAATTTTGCTGAAAGGTGCCCATTTATACCATCTCCAACCACCAACCTTCTTGAGAATAATAGCTATGCCATCTGGTTTATTTTACAATATCTATTCAGAAGGCACCGGGGATTCAAGCTATTGACTTTTCCATACATATCCAGAAAAATGAGCATGCTTCTTAGTCTTGCTACCAAAGTCCTTTTTTTGTTTAGTCAGAAGGGGGAAGTTACCTGGATCAGAGACATCTAGCTCCAAATGAAGCAGAAAAGAAAGGGGGAAAATGTTTGTCAGAAGAATATACTGATAAAGCAAAAGTATAAGGTAGCTAGGAGATGTTCTCAAATGCTTGCTAATCAAAATGTGCACACATACACAATTACCAGCTCTATGCTCCCTGTGAAAAGCACTACTTGCTGAAAAATAACTGTTGCTTTCAACACACAATAAATAAATATGCAATCCCTTAATGGGTCAATATTAGGTATAAAAAAATGAATACGGATTCTTAGTTCTATTTCTCAACCTGGCTGGCATGGGAATCCTGGGAGTTGAAGTACATGCATCTTAAAGATTGAGAAACAAATGTAACTCATTGGAGAAAAAAAATCAGTAAGAAAGAGTAAAGCTCATGCTCATATCCTGTCTGTTGAATGCATTGGCTTTCTGAACTTATTAGTAATTAGAGGTAGTAGATATAGATATATGCTTTTCCTGTCAAAAAGACTTACTTTGCATGTCTCTATGTAACATGCTTTCTATTGGTTAAAGTCAGACACATATTCTCAAGGCGATCTGTTTCCTTCTTCATTTCTGACTCTGACCTCTGCACTTCAACTACTTACTTGGGTCATTTTCTCTTCATAATGGACCTCCAGGCTTTTAGTAGTTAGCTATTAAACAGCCACCATGCCAGAAACTATATCAGCAATAGGGATACCATACAGGAAGGTAAATGCATCAAGAAAGTAAGACTGGATGGAGTCAAGTTAGTAGAAAGATACTTAAGGAGAACTGCAGATTGAAAATTAATTTTATCTACGGACAATAATTCCAGACTAGCAGCTCAGATGGAGATATAAAGGAGGGAAAATCCATCCAAAAACTTGCTTTACTATGTGGAAAGCTGGATTAGCAAAAAGCAGTTAATGGTTGTTCTCTCAATCACAGAATATGTATCTGCATCTGTAATATTTTAGCTCAAAATGTATGTATATCTGCAGCACTACTTTGCCAAAAAAATAACCTGGTTACCCAAACTAATATTGGACTTTGAGATAGATAAGCTGAAGTATAGCTGAGGACAACCAAAATTGTATTTTGATTTCCAAAACAAAAAAGCTACTCATGTACAAAGCACAATGATGCCAAGCACCATCACGTGCAAGATGCATTCCATTATGACTTGTTGAGCAAGTATTAACCCACAGGGGAGACAGCAGTTGACATACTCAACAAGTCATGATCAAGAGACCAGTTTAAAGGCTTTTGTGAAGCAGTAGGAATGATTAACTGGTGCAATGGCCATCATGAAGGGGATGCATGTACCAGCTTTCTGTGCCTATAAATGTACTGACCTCCAGGACAACAGATGTAGAGGTAGCTAGCAGAAGGACTCTGCACTTCTTTCTGCTTTTTTAATCCCAAAAGCTTTTTTTTTACTTAGCATGTCTTATGTAACATACATCTTATTGACTAGTCTGACATTCTCAAGGTTTTTATCACTTTCTTCCTCTCTCAGTTCATCTATATTTTTCTTCTAATTCTGAACTAAGCCATTCAGTACCTCAGCAGATTGAAAGACAGCACATTATAGTTGTAGATAGACTTAAGTAATTTGGGGTCCCTTATCACTAAATAAAGCTAATCTATTTTTCTTTCATGTAAGCAGCAGTCTTCAGGATAATTTATTTTTAGAGAGTTTTTTTAAAATTAACTAAATAAAGAAAAAAATATTGTATATACTCATGAATAAGCCCATCCAGAGGTAAACTGGCCCTCAATTTTCATGTTTTAATTTTCCTAGTTTATTTGTCAGCAGCACATATTCATTTTATTTTGGTTCAAACTTCAAGAGTTTTTTCTTCATTGATTGCGTTATCTTTGAGTCTATATAGAGGATATATCAGTCTTTCACAAAGCTGATGGAAAAACTTACCATATATATAATCAAAATGCAGCCAAGAAATTGAGTTTAGTAAATCAAACTCAATTTCTTAAGAGTATTTTGGTACTTAAATTCTTGGCTTATCCATGAGTACATTCGGTACACAAAATTATAAAACAATAAAAAAGAAACAAAAACCTACAAGATGTAAAGTTACATACATACATACATACATACATACATGAGCTAAAACTAGAAACACAGATCACCAAGATTAAAAATTTATTAAAACTGAGCTTTCGTCAGCGCCTGCTGACGCCAGAGTGTAAGCCAGGAATGGGAAGCACGTTCTTATAGTCTCTGTGAAGTTTAGCTAATGAGCGCGTGACAGGTCTATTCGGCCCCCGCCCTCCCGCAATCAGTTGCATTGATCCTATTTCTGTCAGGCTGGCTGACGTCTGTTTAAGTTTTGGCGCTCTGCCTCTCTCCACTCGCCCCATTCACCGGGAGCGTTCATCTTGCTACGCGCGATCATCTCACCGCTTGAGTGACTCTTCTGCCTGCAATGCTGCTGTTTTGGCTGGTCGCTCCTCCATCATGCTGGCATTGCTGTCCTCGTTGGTCAAGTGCCCTTCCTGATGTCCATGGGTCCGGTCTGCCTCCTCATCACCTCCTGCTATGCCAATGTGTTGGCTAATAAGAGGTTACAATCCTCTGCCTTCCTGCTCATGCGGGGGGAAAGTGATTGTTGATTCCTCCATTCAGTCCTCCTACATGATAATACATGCTGGCACAGTGTCTGGTAGGCTGGCAATAACTCAATATGCCAGTTAACCGAATATTGATTGGATAACCAAGCCTCTTTTGAAAGACGGCTGCCCTTGGTTGTATCGTGAGCAATGACTCTGGCCTCTGTAAAATTGAAGATATGGTTGTGCTCAATAGTGTGAGCCCATATCTGAGACTGTTTTTCTTTATGTTTAATGGCCAGTTCATGCTCATAGAGCCTTGTCCGGAGGTGTTTCGTGGTCTCCCCAATGTAAGTTGCACAAGCAATCATTGCATTTGATTTGGTAGACCACAGATGACATGTCGCCCACAGATAGGGGTTCTTTAGGATGCATTATTCATATGCGCAAAGTCTGACTAGGTCTGTGCAGAGAAGGACCACACTTTTGATTTTGCCGGAGCTGAGGTCATCGCCCAAGATTCTACCAAAGATGGCCGTTTACTAAAAGAGGCTTGGTTGTCCGATTGCCATTCAATCAACTGACACATGGATTTACTGCGCCATACCTAACATTGAGGAGACATGAGCAACGACGCAGATTAGCTGAACGAGTTAACCTTTTACCATCTTCACGATGGATGAATAAAATATGAAAGAGCTGACTCGCTTACCCATCGAACAACACGATGGCATGACAGGTGGATCGATGAAAACACAAGTGAAGTCCGCTGTTGAGCCGAAGGAAGGACAGCAGACTAATATGACCGGGATGAGATACAGGACAAGGACATCAACAGCTGACGCACTTACACAGCAAACCAGTGCCACGACTAACCGCGATGGCATAAGCAATGATCCGGCCACAGCGCTGAACGATCGCACGCAACAACATAAACGCTCCCCGGCAACTGGTGAAGGAGAGAGTATCAAGATTGCAATGAGGGCTGACTTATACGGCAGAGCCGGATTGGTGCAGCTGAATGTGGGAGAGCGGGGGGGCAGACAAGCCGATTGCACACTCTTTGAGGACTTTGACAGCTGATGTGCCTAAGTGGCAGACCAACGCCACGATAGAATGGGACGGCATGAGTGGTGGTCCAATGATGACGCTGAACGGCCGTGCACAGCAGGATAGCCGCGCAGAACAGCTGGGAGGAGGAAAGATGTCAAGATCTGGGTAGAAGCCGACTCGTGCGGCCAGGCCGGAACTAGTGCAGCTGAATGTGAGAGAGCGGGGGGCGGGCAGGCTGGTTACACATTCTGTAACCTGACAGTTAAACTGTCACACAGGTATATATGTAGGTTATTCCCATCTTTAGCCCTTACTTTGATGATGTCAACAGGAGGTTGACGAAAGCTCAGTAATTAAAACCAACATATATCCATGGATGATTATAATAATCAATTTGGCAAATCTTTAATTTCTTACAATGTATACTCTACTAAGTTCAGCGCTTCTCCAGCAGACTCTCCAAAATATATGACTACTTTTTCTGTCCAACAGTGTTTGGGCTAAAATTCTAAAATGATTTTAATTAGACTTACTTCCAAGTGAAACTTACCTATCTTAAAACGACCCATGTAGTAAATTTGGGTGCTAAGACCAAGAGAGGCCACAACATGGATGATGGAGAAGAGGACCCAAAACCACACATTTTTCCCAAAAACCTTGGAAGGAATAAATAAATAATTATCCCAAAGGCAGTACTATATCCTGCCTTTTAAATAAAAAATAAATATTTTATAGTGAGCTTTTTTCCAACTTAAACTAAGTTTGGTGATCAGAAAGGATTGGTGAGATATACCAATAAATCAATAATTAATGTACTCAATAAAATCTAATAGTAATTTAATAATGCAGCTATAGAATACAGATGGGAATAGATAATTGTCTGATTTATATTTTAATGTGATCATACTCAAACTGCATTTTCAAAAATCTAAATGCAAACTAAATATAGAGGCAGCTTTTGATTATTAAGGCAATGAGTTGTACTGATTTTTATTACTGTAATATAGTTTATTATTACAGTTTATTATTTTTACTTTTTTTAACTGGTTTTACTTATTGCTTTGATAATTTTATTATTATCTGGATTCTGAGAAAAGCACATTCTCTAGGCTGTGAAATACTTTCTACAAGAACTTCTGGCTCTGTTATTTAATAATACATAGTTCTGTCTTTCATTTTATATATTTAGCAAATTTAGGTACTGCCCATTTTACTATTTATGTGACTCTGAGCAGTCTGTAGATAAAAAGTCAGAATTCTTTAACTGATGCGTCTATAACAGATCCTCTCTACCTGATCAGGTGGGAAGGTCGATGTAATTGGGACTAGCTGATTTCCCAGGTAACCTGGTCCCATGCCATAAAGGGCTTTAAAGATGATAACCAACACCTTAAATTGGACCCAGAAGCAAACTGGCACGCAGTGAAGTTCATACAGCTACAGAAGCTACATGAACAATTCTTGGGGAGCCTAGAACTGTTCGTGCAGCCATATTCTGCACCAGCTGCAGTGTCTGAATATTCTTCAAGGATAGCCCAAATTTTCAAATGGATGGGGCTGAGCACTTATAAAGGTAAAGGTAAAGGTTTCCCTTGTTTAGATGTGTCTGACTCTAGGGGATAGTGCTCATCTCTGTTTCTTAGTCAAGGGAGCCAGGGTTGTCCAAAAACACTTGGTCCATGGTCATGTGGCTAACATGACTATACACAGAGGCACAAAGAACACTGTTATCTTCCCACCAATGTGGTACCTTATTAATCTACTTGCATTTGCATGCTTTCAAACTGCCAAGAGGGCAGGACCAGTGGTGGGATTCAGCCAGTTCGCACCTGTTTGGCAGAACCGGTAGCTAATTTTTTGTTGCCCAAGCCCAGAATGGTCTTCCGGAAGTGGCATCCACACAGAGAACCGGTTGTTCACATATCTGAATCCCACCACTGGTCAGGACCTGGGGCAAGCAACAGGTGTTCACCCTGTTATGCAGTGCTAGGGTCTCAAACCCAGAGCTCAGTGTCTTTAACTGCTGAGCCATCGTGCCCCCCACTTGAGCACCAACAGCTGCTGATTTTTGCTATTTGGCATCAATGCAATTTAAGCTTAAGTTAATGAGAATCCACAGAAGATTTTTATGATTTTTTTTCAGAAGTTCTGCCTTCCTTGCCCATGACTCTATGTACAATAGCTCCAATGCATAAAACACAATCCTACCACTCCGAGTACAGCAAGGCAAATGACCACTGCAAAGGATGCATAGGCCGAGTAAGCACTGGCGTTGATGTCGGGGTGGCGAGTCTGATATAGTTTTAGCATACACAATCCTGCAATCATATACATGAAAGAGGTGTCTGCCAAAAGAAGAGAAAACAGAACAGTTCTTATGGTGGTTACTTCTGTTAACATTAAAGAGATAATTACCACTCTAGATCAACTATTTACTGTTGTAGAGGGCTGAGGTTGCTAGAATGAGGCCAGATAATGAAATAAAACTCATTCTCCAGACTGCAATGTTAATTTCAGAGCAAGACTTCTCAGCGCTTTTCACTGTAGCATCAAAAGCCAACAGAAGACCATGGGAACTAATGCCCAAAGGTATGGGGAACTAATTTTTCAAACCAACAACCAGCAGAGGAACCTCAAGATCTCTTAGTTGTAGTAGAAGACTGAGTACTAAATAAAAACATATTTTGTTTTTGTATATTTATAATTATTTTTGTAGAATTGGTAAGAACTGTTAAAATCAATTTTAGCAATTTTAAAACACAGGTAATGACCAGACCCACCAAAAGTTACTTATGATCTAGTTCTGGAGTTCTGATGGTTGCACACATGTATACAGACAACACATACACATCATATGACTGCATGTGGGCGCTTAGCAACCAGCTCATCTTTACTGCCAGTTGCAGCATTTCATGACTTACATCAGTTGTTGCTGTTTTGGGGCTTTTTGGTGGGTTTCTGGCAAAAAGCACCACTAGGAATACATTGGTCCGCTTAACAACCACAGTGTTCACTTAATGACTGACATGTTTACTTAATGATTGAGGTATTTGCTTAAAGACCACCATAAAAAAGTTGTAAAATCAGGTCTGGTCACATGGGTGCCTTGACTTATGACCATCATGATTTATGATGGAATTCTGGACTCCATTATGTTGCAAGTTGAGGATTACTTGTATAAAGATTCCACTCCTCTCTTCCCCCAGAAGAAAATTACATACATGAGTTGTGTTTGCACAATATATAAATCTAAAATGGAAAGGGCTTGTTTGTGTTACAGTCTGTTCTGTGAATGCAGCCACTTATTCAACATTGCTCTGTCAATTGAATATCTCTTGTGAGTTCTCAGAAAAAAAATGGAAAAGCTGTTTTTTCAGGCTCATGGCATGCAAACTTAACATGGTGATGAAATGTTAGAAATTGACTCCTACTGCTTGCTTAACTGTATTGCTTTACTCTTTCTAAAATCTTTAGATGCCACTAAACCCAACCTGCTCAAAAGGCCAGAAGGCTTTGACAGATCTTTATTGGAGAAAGCCCTCCACTTACCAAACTGGAAATTAGTGTAATTTGGGCAGACATGGTAGCAAGCACTGAGGACACCTTCCATCATTAAAGCAACACCCATGGCATAGAAGAGGCCAAAATGCTTAGGGATCCCATATTCCTTGAAGATAAAAGAAGATAGAGGAATAACCAAGCACTATATCAGGGGTAGGCAACCTTGGCTCTTTTATGACTCGTGGATTTCAACTTCCAGAATTCCTGAGCCAGCCATGCTGGCTCAAGAATTCTGGGAGTTGAAATCCACGAGTCATAAAAGAGCCAAGGTTGCCTACCCTTGCACTGTATTATAACATCATTCTGTTTTTTTCATTCAGAATAGGTAAAGCAGTTAATTAAATGAATAGATAAAACAATTAAAACCCAATTGACAGCAGCTAAAATTATTAGCGAAGAACTAATTGAAGAAGGTGGACCACGCTTTACCATACAAATGTTACCACTTGATGTGGTTTTTTATTTCCATGTGAAAAATATGAAAGGTGAATTGCCTTCTTAAAATAAATTTACTGTTTGATTGAGGATATTTTTATTCGAATATGCATTTTTGTAAAGATTTTCTTGATTTTGTCCTTGAATTCTCCTATAAAAAGTAAAATTACAAACATAAACAAGTCATTTATCCTTAAGAACCTCTTTCAAATTTGCTACATTTTCAGGTTTGTCCTTTATATTTTCTAAGAAAATATGGTCAGTGTATTTCTTGCATTCTTGCTTACCACCTGCCCTCCTCCCATGCTCCCCCTTCCTCACACCTCACTGTAGTTATCCCCTCCTCCCCCATATTCAGCCTCTCTGGGGTTTCTTTGCAACTCTCAGCCTTGGCCTCCCAAAAATTCTCGCTAGCTGTCTTCATGCTCAGCCTTTTCCCCACACAAACCTTCTAGGGGGCTGAACAGTTTGAAGGCAAGTGAAGTGCAGGGAAAGCCAATCAGAGATCTCCTTTCACTGAGAGAAAAGAACTTAGGGAAAATAATTTTGAGTGAATGCTCCTAGAGGAAAGTTAAACATCTTCCCCACCACAAATGCAAGTCTTTTAAATTCAACTGCTTGGCATTAAAACAAAGGCTTCGTAAAATAATCATGAGATGTGCAGTCTGCCCAAAGGCATAGCTCTATGAAGGAAACATAACAGAAAGGGTCCTTTCCTTTAGCAAAATCCTTGGCTTCACTGGCATTGTAAGAACCAGAAAGATAGAGGCACTTTATACTAGTGTCTACCATCCCATTTTTTACTCAGCAAGAAGGCAGAATATACCGTTGCGCAGATGTCTTTCATTTCCAAGGAACGTCGATGGAGAAGGTCTCTGCACAACACAATCAACAGGAAAAGGATACCCAGCAGCATGTGGCCAATGTTGCTGAGGATGTTGTTGAAAGCACTGCAGAAAAGCAAAAAAGCCATATAATATTTTTGTCTCTGGAACTGAACATATAAAATAATTGTAAGGGAATACAACTATATAAAAAGTATTTTTTCTGTTTATTTCCAAGGGCCATCTTAATCCTATGTGCAAAGCTGTCTTTTGCAAGGCTGTGGAGATGGCACTGATAACACTAGCTTTGCTTGGCTAATGTTGTGGGGAAAAGGGAGGAAAATGAAATAATCTGCCACCCCAGACCTAGAATGCAGTCCCAAGTGCAGCCATTTGAAATATTTTTCATAATCAAAAGCTGGGGGTAGAAATATAGTTGTCCTCTGTTCTGATTTCCAGTATTTTCCCAAAAAGGTTACTACCTGGGATACCTTGGGGGACTGGAACCCAGTTCTATGCTTGCCATGTGTGACTGCTACCAGTCCTGGAAATTTTGCCTTTACCTGTGCATGTAACTGTGCATGTAACTTGCCTCTACTTATATGTGTCTAATTACTTCGATTCATATTAAAAAATAGTAAAGTCAGAACTTCCTTTTGCTTGGCTTTTGGTTTTGTCAGCATTCCTTTTATGGGATTTTATTCTTTTATTAAATGATATTATTAGTCTGCAACCAATATTGGTGTAGTAATGGATTCAGGACTGAGCAGAGAGTTGGACTAGAGATGCATTCCAATCCTGGTATCCTACAAATCTATGAACATTACACTTCATACAAAAAATTATATTCATTGCAAACCACTTACCCCACAGAAAATATCCATCCCCATTTCCCAATTACACAGAAAGAAACTCAAATTAAAACCCAAGCCACAAATTGGGAATGATCCTCATGCACACCTCAGGACTCCCAGTGGATGAGCACAAAGGAAGTTATAATAGCAGATGTCCTGATTTCCAGTCACATTCACCACCTAAAAATTGGGAGGGGTGAAAAAAAATCCAACATAAAGTCATTGCACCATGTCAGCAAAGATGGTCAATAGCCAAGAGAGGAAAAACAAGCAATGTTTGGTATATCTGAACTGCATTCTAAGCAGATATTCCAGTTGTATTTGGTGTACTGGATAAACTTCAACCATAGTTCAGTGGTTTGGTATGTTTCTTTCAAATCAGTGCAGCATAACCAACAGGTACTGAAGGGTATACATTGCTATTGTGTAAAAACAGAAGATTTCTGTAGAACGTTATATGATAGATTAGATTACAGATTATTTTCACAATTAGCAGCCAAAAATCTGTAAGATACACCCAAAAGTGTTCAGGAAGCAATCTTTGTTGTCCAGTGTTATTTGCTGCTCCATCTTAGTTTTTTTTTCTTTCAGCACTGCAATGTATTTTCATTTCCTATGCACATTCATTCTATTTTTTCATGAAGAAACATAAATATGGAACAGACATTATAGGTCTTAACTGGGGAATTAGCTCCATTCATTTCTCTTCCTTCTATTATCTACATATAGGGAATATTCATTTGGAGCCACAATGCTCTCCACTACTCTGTGTCCTTTCCATCTAGACAAGGAGATACATGGTTGGTTTCTTTCCCCTCTCCTCCCTCCTTTTTTGTCTATCAGGCTTCCATTAGAAAGCTTTAATAGTAGGGGAAGCAGAGGCAGAAGGAATTTGCTGGGAGAAATTGGAAATCAGGGTAGGAGGAAGCCAAGCATCACACTTCAAATTGTTGATATTTTCTAATTCCAGTGGCCCTAGCAAGGAGATCATATGGAAGACATGGGTCAGGTGCAAGTAACCAGAAATGACATGATGAGCTGATAGCTAGAGATCTTGCCAGACTAAAGCACATACTGCATAATCACTAGATAAATACTGTGAAGTTTTAGGGAGGGTTACCCTTCAGCCTCTTCCTCCTCACAAGGGACTCGTGGCTATGCAGCCATTTCACTCCTCCCCTCAACTCAAAATCAGATTCCACCACAGCTTCCATCACAGCCTCTTCTAGAATCATAGGGCTGAATGTGACCTTGGAATCTCCTAGTTTAACCCTCTGCTATACTTTCAACCCCTATAACAATAAGTAAGAAGCAGAAACTCTCCATAATAGGGCCCTCTGCTAGGATTTTCTTGACTGTTGGGGATCAAGCAGAAATTGGTTACCAAGAAATTTGATGATGGTTGCTTAACTTTGTTAGAGTGTCTTTTACATTAAACCCAGATTAATAAAGGAGAAAGGAGCATTGCAGATTTGATCATCAGTAGTATTATAGCTTTCAATTCATTTTGGTTTGATACTTCATTTCTTTTAAGAGGTTAAACAAAACACAGATTTTATAATCACTAAAATAAACAGACTAAAGTAAAATGCTCTTGAGGTAACAGGCATTCACACGCAGGCCTGGATGAAATCTGCCTGCCATTTGTTATCTCCTTTTAGTGCAGTTTGTCTAAGAGTGAGATGACCGCTCTCAGCAGTACCTGGCATCATTATAAAAGCTAAAAAGTAAATAACTGGAACTGAATCTAAAAACAGTTTGCAAAGCAATAGGGCTTGGGGGAAGGAGGAGTAAAAAGTAGGAAAAGATATTAGCCTAGAGGCTTAATTTATACTGAGAGAAGGCACAGGAACTCACCGTTTGGTATGTGATCACCAACTGGATCACTGGTAAGGCATAGAAAACAGCAATTGTGATGATGTTCCTACAGAATACAAAGCATTGTATTTAAATATGTATGTTTCCATTGAATGTTAATAAATGGTCTCATTAGAGTAAGTAAAGCAAAAATAAATTTCTTAAACTGAACATAGAGTTAACATGATTATAAATGCCAAGCTGATCCAGAATTTAAGATGAGCCCCTTCAGCGATAGGAAAAGGGTGGAGAAAAAGATAGATACATAAAAACACATTTTTTTTAAAAAAAAACACCCACATTTCTAAAGCTGTTAATCATTTTACATTGTTTGCAATAGTGGCAAATATCTGTAGCTCTGTGTAGAATCAGGGTGAAGGTTTATTCTCCAAGCTTGTGGATTTATTCCCGAATGTTTCATTACCAGGCTAGATAACATCTTCAGTAGAGTTTAGGGGATGTCAGTATCAGTGTTCTTCTGTTTATAAGGGCTTCAAGTGGTCAGTAGGTCTTGTGATGGGTCAGCTGTGGGTGTGTCAAGTAAGGACCAAGTGAGGGTCATTGGGAGGTGAAGTACTGGTTGGGGGGGGGGGCTTGCATGGGTTGGTTGAGAGTTGGTGCTATCTGTTGCAACCAATTCTACATGGGACAAACATCATGTCAATTAAAAACCAGGATCCACGAACACTGACTGGTAGTCAAATGCCACAATCCCAAATCCTTAATCTCTATCCACACTGACACCAAACAACACCAGTTCAATTGCAGCAACACTAAAATCATCAGCCACGCTACCACCCACTATGCTCATGAGTTCATCGAAACCTGGCACTCCACAAGCAATTCCATCAACAGACATACTGACCTACAACTAGCCTAGTCAACCACAGCTAACCAGAGACAGAACCAACCCTCAACCAATTCACACAAGACCCCTCAACCCTCACTTCACTTCCCAATGACCCTTACCTGATGTAACCTCCCCATCATAAGACTCCCACTGATGACTCCCACCTAACCTATCACAAGACCCTCACTTGACACACCCACACCTGACCCATCATAAGACCTACTGACCACACAAATCCCTTATAAACAAAGGAACACCGACACTAACACCAAACTCTGCTGAAGATGTTATCTAGCCTGGTAATGAAATGTTTGGAAACCAACCTGCAAGCTCAGAGAATGAATCGTCACCCTCATTTTACAATGTGTAAAAATAACATATTAAACCCCATAAAATACTGAAATAGTTTTATGTAGATACCCTACTTTTTAACAAATAAAAAATAATGAAGGGAAGTGTGACTGTTTCAATTTTTGCTAACATCTTCAATATCTGGCAAATAATTTGATTTCATAGATCTCTGAGATGTCTTGTGGGACGTTCAGGAGATCTTGAGCTACCATTTAAGAAACATTGGCCTAAATCAATAAAATAGAGTTTCAGTCATTCCTGACCAGGCCTTAAGGGATAACATTCATACTGAGGTGCTGCATTAGCTGCCACTAGGTTTCTGATTACTATGCAGAGTGCTGTGGTCATTGCTTATAAAGTGCAGGTCCCGGTTATCACAGTATAAAGTCTGCCTATTCTGGGCATTCACTCCAGAAACAATTAACAATGAAAGGTACTTATCTTCTAGATGCATCAGTGCAAAATTCTGAAATTTTGTACCGGGAAATTCATGTTTAACCAGTTTGAGACTGGGGTTATACTCTTATTTCATCAAGTAAATCCCCTTTAAGGATTCTATTTAAATTATGAGAAGAGAAAGCAAGATGAGTTCAATTTTAAAAAATGAGTTCCATTAATTTGTTAGTAACTTACCAGAAATAAATTTTATACTTTTTGCTGACAATTCTCCGATCCTTTCTGGATAGGTCTGACAGATACAGGAACATCTAAAAAGAAAGAGGATATGTCAGAATCCAATTATATTTCATCTCTAGTTATCAACTATAGAAAACCCCATTTCTAGATTCTGTCATACAATGAAGGGAAGAAAGTGAACAAAGGGGCTGTATGGCCCTCACTTCCTTCAGTACACTTCAAAGGGACTGGATGTGGATATCACCAAAATGACTAACCATAACAATGGGGCTATCACCTTTCATGTACTCCTCTCTGAAGTCTCCATCCAGCCGGCAGTAAAGAAAAGGGGGTGGGAGTGTAATGCCTGAGGCTGTCGCTGGAAGAAGGGGGTGATTGGGTGGGGCTACTGGGGAATCCCTTAAAACCTTGAATGGGAGAGCTTGGACTCCAAATCCTGTCTAGAACGCCTGCAACCATTTTCTCTTAATAAAGGATGCCTGTTGGAAGAACTATTCCAAGAGTTCTGTCTTCTTAAGATGCAAAGTGGGGTGGGTCCTTACAGGATAAGATCTTCACAGTTCTTTAAAAGGATTAAAATACAATCTAGCTTTTCAGATCAGGAATGTTATTTCAACCTGTCAAGGCAAGCATACGAAACCAAATATATTCCCTTAAAGTAAGATATCTGAGCACAATCTCCTAAATTTTAACATATTGTTTTACCAGTGTGATGTGAACCATATTCAAAAATTGTGCACAATATAAGTTAATAAAAGATTTATTTCACTCCAACTCTTGACCATAAACATTTGACGGAAAGAATTGAATCCCACTGTTTGTGATTAAACAGAGACTGGTTGGCAATCACAACTACCATGTTGGACTAAAGTCTTTCTTGACAAAGATGCTGCTGGAAGGAGGGGAAGAAGATAGATAGATAGATAGATAGAGAGAGAGAGAGAGAGAGAGAGAGAGAGAGAGAGAGAGAGAGAGAGAGAGAGAGATGTTGGAGATTTTGGAACTTCCTGTGCTGCTTAATGATCACAATGATTTGGTTTGTAACTTTTCTTACGGACGCCCCTAAAGAAGAGAGTGGGGAATGGTATGAGAAGGAGTTTCGTATTGTTTTTAATTCCATCTATATTCAAAACAGCAAGAATCTGCCTAAACCTTGAACCTCCTGTCCTATATTACTGTTTGTGTAAAACACAACTGCCTGAACTACCTTATATCCTAAAGCTAGTTACCATATTTTTATTTAGGTTACAACACTGTATAACAAGATTTTGGGAGAAATTAAAAATAAAATGTGAAAATGTAGGGCCAATTTGGTGTACTGCTTAAGGTACTGGCCTAAAAACCAGTGGACTGTGAGCTCTAATCCTGCCTTAGTTAGGAAAGCTGGCTGGATGACTTTGATAAAAGGATGAAGGCGTATTAAGTATGTTCACTGCCTTGAGTTACTTATAGAATAATAAAGGTGGAATTAAAAATAACTAATAAAAATTATAAATACAATGAAAATAAAATAAGCAATACTATTCAATGCTAATTATAAATAACAAATGAGAACCCTGATTAATTAAACCTTCTTTGGGGGCCAGACATTTATAGCTGAGACGCTTTCTATCAACAAATCTTTTTGCAGAAATTCTCTGATCAAAAGTTATATGCTTTGGTTTCTTCATGGTTTGATTAAAAGTGTGTTAATTTCTGGGCAAATTTCCTCAGTAGAGAATAGCCTATTCTACAAAAATCAGGATCACACTGTTTCCTCACATACATCTGAGCTAAATATTTACAATCCATCATGTTTCAGAATATTTTATTCTTTGAACATAAAGAAGAAGCTGACAATAATGTGTAGATATGTTCCCAAGGCAAACAAAGTTTTAGATCTTAGATTATTTCACTTCAAATGATAACTGCAATAATGTAGAGAAAAGATACGTAAAAAAAATTCCTTACAAAAATGCAAATGCCATATGCAAGAGATACCTTAGTGCGGATTACGTTCTTGTTGCTTTCAATTTCAGGCATAGTGTCAAAATCACTCTCCTCTTCCACTGAGCTGTCTGTATCACTGCCACAAGGAGGCCTATGATCTAGATTTGATAATTCTTGACCTCCACTGGAGCTTGATTCATCTAAAAGTGAAAATTGTGGTACAAAAGTTGGTTGCTTTGTTTATTTTTCTGTGAGTCATGTACACAACATTATAGTAATATTGAAAGTCTTTCTCATAAGACTTAAACAGTGAATATTGGTCTTTTTAATGTTGCCAAACAACAACAAATGCAAGCAGGCAAGGAGCATCATGTCTCTTCAATGTCTTTACTGCCCCTATCACATCATATCTTCATAATTTTAACTTCCATTTACATTTCTGCTTCTTCTTCTTTTTTAAAAAACAAGTTTTATTAGTTTTCCATTTTTACAAAGCTTCAGGTATTAAGGAAGCAACATGATGGTTGGGTAATACATAGTCCAATAACAAGCTTATCCATATATATGTCAGTTTACATCATCAAACATTTCCTCTCTGTTTCCCTTAGTTATTATACCAAATTCAAATTGATACATTGCTAGTTATAACTCAATCATTTAAAGTATTTATCAACAACTTTTGACTTATATGTCTCCAGATCCTGTTTTTAACTTTTATCTGATTTCAATTATAGTATTCCAGTTGGCTTAATGTCCATACTATTTAGGTTTCAGATAACCCACGGTTCCCTTAGTTCATTACAGAATAATTATCATGTCTAAAATACACTTATTATTTATTCAAATAAATTCTTAGTTTATTTCACAATCATATTCTATTTCTCATTCTAATATCATCACTTACTCATAAAATAACCTTTATCCTCTGAATCCATCTTCTATATTATTATTCAGAACTATTATTTTAGTAACTAATTTATTTCTCTTCCTTATAGATATAAATCCTGAATATTAAATCAATTAATGTCTTTTAAAATCTCCTTATCCCATTAAGTGAGATTTAAGGCTCTTCCATTAAATGTCACATAAAGAAAACAATTTTTTAAGTCTAACTCTGGCCTTCCTTTTGTGCCAAACTGGCTTCCATAACAGAGCTTTTAAATCCTCGGGTGGATCTCCCTTCATTCCTGCATATATAATTTGAATCAAGAGAGACCATCCAGCTATCAGACTATCAAGGAAGCTAGTCCCTTCATAGTCATTAGATTGTTGGCCTAGTAATTTGAATCTCCATATTGGCTTAATATATTTGTCATGAGTTCAGGTTGGTCTTCTTCTGCTGCTGCTTTCAACTGGTTTAGATGAAAAGTCATATTCAATGTTGTAGTTGTTTTTTAGTCATCTGGGTTATCCGAATTCTCGGTGTATTGTGTATGTAAGTCTTCAGCACCTTCCGTCTTAATGTTGCTTTCTTCAGTTTCTGTTGCTGTTAAGATTGCAGATTCTTTAGATAAAATCAAAGTTTGGGTGCTGGAGTTCTGAACAGATTGTAGCTGGCATTCTTTCAAATCTAGTGTTGGTTCCTTCTTCTTCTGTTGCTTTTTGGGTTATAAGTTCATCTATTGAAGTCAGGGCTGCGTTTTGTAGCTTTAAGGTGGCACGTATATCTTTCATTCTGGAGTTCGTTAGCTCATTTGCCTCTAAGATTTTTTCAAGTATTAATTTGAAGTTAAGCTGTGGGTGGTATTCCTCCATTTCTGTGGTATTTACAAATAGTCCTTTAGTGGAGGTTATTTTTAATAAAAGTCAATAACTATCCACCTCCACTATAAAGAATTGTTTTCACCACCCAGCTGTTTCAAGTTCTTATCTTTTTTGAAAATGTCAAGGACAAATTTTAGACTCAAAAGTCTCCCAGTCAAAAACATTTTTTTTCACTTGCTGTACCAAATTTCACCACAAGATGTTCCCAGTAACATACAAAGTTAAGCTTTTATCTGGTTCAAAGAAGGAAGAGAAAAATATTCCTTTTTTTCCCAGCTTAGCTTAGCAAACAAATAAAACAATAAATTTCTGTAAAAGTAAAGGATTTTTGGGGAGCCCAGGTATCCAAAAATTACAAGTCCAAATATTTGGTCATTTAGTCTAATTGTTCTCTATTTTTTTTTAGCTTTATATTCCCAAAGTAGGCAGGAGCCACAGAATTGAGGAGGGGAAAAGGGGTATTTCCAAAGGCTTTTACAGGAAAATAGTTGGGAAGCAGGAAAGGTAAGGTAAGGTCTCACCCAACTCCTCCAGGTTGCTTTTGTCGTTCTTAGTAGTGCTTTGGGCTTTTGGCAGGAACGGCTTGGTGATTCATTATATTAATAGCCGATCTTTTCTTTGTCAGTCCAAAGGAGCTGCCTCAGATCCAGCGGAAGAGCTGCCTCCCTTCCGTGGTCAGTCAAGGGTCCTTCTCAGCGGTGGTCACCCCTCCAAGGTGACTTTCAACCCTTTGCAAGATCTTCTGGCAAACCGGACAGCGGAGAGAGCAGTTTCTCCACATGCGCGCCAGCACCGCAATCGCAAACCAGAAGCCTACATTTCTGCTTCTTACATGGGTATGAATTCTGCCCATGTCTCCATTTTTTGCTCCATCCCTTTGCCCAGAAATAATAATTTGTATGAGATCTTTCTTTTTCCTCATAAGAAGTAATATTTTTAACAATTAGCTTACTTATTTATATCTTGAAGATAAATTTCAATTAATAAAAATTTAAATTTCAGTAAGGCAAATGCCAAAGGCCAGTTGTAGCACATAATATCATGTGTTGTTTTATCACTCAACACAGAAAGCAGGATTGGAACATCGATGGTGTTGAAGTATTCCTTTTATATAGAAAAAGAGAAGGAGAGAAAATGGACAAAGGCTGCAGAGAACTTTTCACCTAGTGAAAGGCATTTTTCTGCTTTTGAGAAGATATCGCCAACCAGAAACAGTGATGGCAGCCCCAAATGAGCAAGAATTGTTAAGGAAAGGTGAAAAAATAGCTCTTGTCAGAAAAGAGAAAGAAAAGGAAAGAAATCTGAGTTATATTTAAGAGGAACAGAACTTGTTGAGGTTGAGTTCTTAGATGGAATTTCTCTTTGATAAGTTTCCATCTGTTACATCTTGTCTCCCCCTCAGGTGCTTTGGAGAATAGGTTGACTCCCCTCTTCTTTGTGGCAGCCTCTCAAATATTGGAAGTGTCAATGCTGCAAATACTGTATATTCTTGCTTTGACAATATGCAAAACTGTCTGGTATTTACTGGGTTAATACATAGCTTAGAGGGAGGGGGTAAAAAGCCCGGGAAAGAAAGAGGAAGTAAACTTTTGACCTTCACACTAATTGGATAATGTGACTTGTGACTGCAAGATAAGGGAGGGGTTTAGCAAGAAAAGTTTGATGCCAGCAAGAGGAAGTCAGATTCTGGCAACAAAACGTCCATGATGGTGACCGGCAATTTGTAGCTCTGTAATAAAGACTTTAGGAAACATGCCTGAAAGTTCTTTGAAGTGCTTCATTAGTCGGAACCTTGACATCATGCCAGAATCCAACATTCTTTTCAAACGACCTGCGGTCCCGAACTCCATCAGCTGCCGCTATGCTTGAGAGGAGCTGGCAAAGATTTGGGGAAGATCTCATTATGGAGAAAGAAAGATTGCCTGAGACCAGCCCCATGGCTGCAACAGTTTCCCCGGGGGGGGGGGGAGCGACAGCCAGCAAGCCAGGGGAGAGAGGAATTTGGCAGATTTCCCAGCTGAGAGTGAAGACTTCAAAAGCAGAATGGACAGATAACACAGTTATGGGTGAGTCGTTGGAAAGATTTCAAAACTTAGAAATGAAAACCAGAAATCAGTTCCTACAAAGTAAAACCTACAGCCCTTCTATTGCAAATGTTCCTGCCATGGTCTCCAGCCCTGAGAGAGAGAATCCCAGTCTGAATCCTCTGCAGCAAGGGGGAAATTGGGTTTCCCAGCAGGTGGCTGATCCATGTTCTCTGAACTTACCACAGGTAATAGAGGCCTTGCAATGCCTTGGGGTGGTACAGAAGCCAGGAGATCAGCAGCTGTTGGGAGAACAGCCACAGCAAGGAGGTTGGCCACAGCCCCCAAACGTGCAACCCCTGGGCATAAATCTGCAGCCAGGTTGGGGCCTACAGCAACTGGGGGGGGGCACAAGAGCAGTGGGGAGCCCAGCAGGAAGCCTATCAGACCCTGCCTTCACTGGCCAGAGACCCCAACTCTGAAGAGAGGGTGAGTTCCAGTCTGAGGCATCTGCAGCAATGGATAGATGGGTTTCCCCAGCTGATGAATGATCAACAGCAGCAGAGGGTGTCACCAACCCCTGCAGTCCAACAACAGAGAAGACCACTACAACCCCCACTTGCGCAGCCACCATTGGGAGGCCTACAGCAGCAGGGGGCACCATCCAACCCCGCTGGCCAGCAGCAGAGGGCCCAGCAGCCGTGGAACCAGCCCCAGTGGGAGCCACAGCAGCCTGTGTTCGCACCACCTTTCAATGCAACTTTTGATGGGGACCCAGAGAAGCTGATTTTTTTCCTCAACCAAGTGCGTTCTCACTTGAAACGCTGGGCCTATCTGTACCCAGAACCAGGGGCCATGGTCGATGTTATTGCGTCCAACCTAGAGGGAGAAGCATCTGAATGGCTGAACAATTTATATAGCGAGCAAGCGCCCGAATTGGAAGATCCCCACCACTTTCTTTTAAGTCTGAGAGAACGATTTGAGGACCCATCCATTGGCCTCAAAGCAGCAGGACAAATTCACAAAATAAAACAAGCCGGGAGGCCTGCCCTGGACTACGTGCAAGAATTCCGCAAGATAGCAGGTCGAATAGACGGGTGGCCTGAGCAGTCCCTCATCCATTACTTCATCGAGGGATTAGACGATCACCTCTCTCAGGCCTGCATCTATCGAGAAATACCTGATTGCTGCAGGAGTGGTACCAGACAGCCGTGAAGCTAGATGTTAAGCTCTCTCGCTATAAGAAGCCTCCCCCACATGAACCTGAGCAGCAACCAGAGCTACCTGGACAGCAATCACCCCCACGAAAGCCTTCAACTATTGCAAGGGCTGAGAGACCCAGGCCACCTACACACCCTTCCTTTGAGTGTTTCCGGTGTGGACAAGGAGGACACTGAGCGGCCACCTGTCCA